AGCTGTCATCATCTATGCTATGATTAGCTTTTCAAAGCACATTAATCCTCATTCTGGCTCTAAAGTAGGTCGGTATTATTGTCTGAAGTATATGTAAAGGACAAAAGAGTTGAGTATGGGTTGACCGTTGGGATGTAATAATTCTAGGATGTTTATCCACAGAAGATTTATTTTTATTTTATGTGTATGAGTTACCTGTTTGCCTGTATGCTTATGTACCACGTATGTGTCTGGTGTCCAAGGTCATAGGAATGCATCAGATCCCCTGAAACTGGAGTTACAGGTGGTTATGAGCTACCGTGTGGGTGCTGGGAAGGAACCCAGGTCATCTGCAAAACCAGCCAGTGTTTTTAACCAGTGGGACATCTTTCCAGCCCCCTACACAAATGTCTCAGGTTGAGTCGGTCTTCCTGATAGGAATTTATTCTCAAGTTATGTTTCTTGTTTGTATTTATATATATTTTATATTTTCTTGTTTATATTTATTTTCAAAGAGGATATAAACTTAGCCACAAGGAAGTTTGCATTTTTTAACCTACTAGCTAAAATACTAAATACAAAGCAAGGTATTTGTTAAAAGGCATGGAGAGATAGTTCTCGTTTCATTGATAAGATCTTTAGACAACTGTTGTTAGCTACATGCTTTTTAAACAAAGTCTATGTGCATGTCTGTGCACGCACTGTGTGCCCATGCGTGTTTAACTTTTCCTGGTTTCCCTTGTATTTATCTGTGTGCACAAGGACTTTTTACCCTCTACAATACATGAGATAAAGAAATAAGTAAATCAAAATTGCCATTACTGCAACATAAAAGTTCAGAATTAAGAGGTATCTTTACTCACTGAAGTTATGGAACATTTCCAGTGCGTTGACCAAAAGACACTGCTCAGAGCTGCTAAGAGTACTTGTGTCCCATAGCTATGAGGCTTGTTAAAGATCAGAGATAGTCCTTCAAGTAACCTGGCTTAGACCTGTTTCACCATGGGGCAGCTTACTTTGATATCATGTAGTACGTGGCAAACTGCTTTAGATAATAGTTACAGCTATAAATTCCATTCCCACTAGTCTATAAGCTTCCAAAGAGTAGTAGGGCTGGACTAAAATTTGTTGTATTCCAACAATATCTAGATGAATGAAATTAATAGTCTAGTTACTCAGGAAATATCTTCTCAGTGACTCCCCCCCCCCCCAGCAGCTATCAGCTGCTACAAGCTCCTCAGTCAGGGTTGGGATCCTTTCCCTGCTCCATGCTGAACTTTTTAACTCACATGATCTTAAGCATGTAACCACAACTGCTTTGAGTTCTTGGGTTGGATATTCATGTCATGTCCAGAGCTAACCATCTCTAGCTATTAAATGTCATGTCCAGAGCTAACCATCTCTAGCTCTTAAATTCTATCTATCCTTTCTTCTGGGATGCACCCTCAGCCTGTCATAGAGACATCTCTACAGCTGAGCACCCACGCTCGCTGATCCTCAGCACTTTGAGTGGTTAGTATTGTCTGTACTAACCACTACCAGCCGCAGTGAGACGCTTCTCTGAGCCTGATCAGAGAACTCAGATCTATGGACATAAACATCAGTGTTTAGAAGGCAGTCTGACAACAGGAAAGCAAAACAGCATCTATAGATTCTGGCTTAGGGCCCATGGCTTCCCTAACCCTGTGTGCTTTGACCATGCCTATAGTGCCGGACATGAATTCCCTTCCGTGGAACAGGCCTCAGATCTGATCCAGAGTGTGGTTGTTTGAATACTCATGCCGCTATTACACCAGTGGGCACATCTTGCCTGGTACGTTGGTATTGTAAGGTGAAAGCTTCAGTGTTGGCTAAGACCATTGTTAACTTTGCTTCCCCAGCAGCCTGCATGGCATTCATTTCCTCTATCCTGCTGCACCCTTCTGCAGTTAACTTCTCTCTCTGTCTCCCCACCCTCCATATCCTCCCTATCCCATGCACTGTCTCCTGTCACCATGGTTCAGCTCTATCTCTGTGAAATCAGCTTGCATAGCTTCCATATTTAGGTGAGAACCTGCAATGCTGATCATTTTGTGTCTGATTTGTTCCCCTAACATAATGCCTTCTGAGATCATCCATATTGCCCCACACCACAGAAGTCCATGCATTTTACAGCTGAATAATATTTTATTATGTATAAATACTAAATTCACATTATCTACTCACCTCTCTTTGGATGGTTAGTTTGACCCATACCTTGGCTATTGTAAACATCTTCATCCCATTTTCTTGTGTCCTGCTAGACTTCTGCGTAGCACATAGCACTCTTATTCTGTTTTATGTGGCTTGAATTTTTTTTCTTACTCTTTAGAAGTTTTTTTTTTTTTTTTTTTTGGTTTTTGACTAAGTTTAATTTGAGTTGTGATGTACTTATATCTCTCTTGGGTTTTGGCAGGTTTTCAGCTATTTTTCATTAAATATATACCCTGTGGCTTTCTGCATTTCTTTTTCTTCCCAGGGTATTGCAGTGATTTGTTCCTTTAAGGCTATACTATATATAGGCTTTACTTCTGCCTTGTTTTTCCCTCTTTGAGAGATCATCCAGCTATTCCTGAACTCTCAGTCCTTCTACAGCTCCCTCTTTAGTACTGGGATGGTAGGCAGGTGCACCATGCTTACCCATGGCATTAGCATTTATTTATTCGTTTCCTTCTTCACTAAGTGAGTCTATTCTTTGACCTAATTTTGCATTCTTTTCCTTGATCTACTCGAGTACTGTGGCTCTCAATTATATTACTTATTTGTTGGATTATTGGTTTGTTATGGTATGTTTTGAGTGCGCACATGTCAACTATGTATATGGGTACACTGTGCCCTAAGCCATGGATGTTTGTAGTGGTGATGATGTTGATACAGTTTGACTAGGCATGGGCCTCCTACCTGCAAGTCTGGTTGGTACGAAATGGCAAGTGTCAGCTTTTCTGATGTGCAGATCTGTTTCCTGCTAATCAGCTTGAGTTTCAGCCTTTCTTGTTGGCCCTAGGCTCTGTGTAGCTATTCATAAGATGCTGCAGTTGCCCATGTACTTGGTGGGATAAAAGAAAAAAATCAAGGTGGAGATATATTGTGGCTACTAGCTTTCAAGGCAGTACACCTGATTACAGGATGGCAGAGAGCTGGATGATTTTCCTTGAGTGAAATCTTCCTATTTCCTGGCTGGGTACAAACACGAATGTGTTTTGGACCTCAGTAAAGAAAGAAATTTAAAATTATGAGTATTTTGTGGATGGGAGAAAGGGGCATCACTGTTCCTAGTAGGATTTCATGCACTCCCATGGCTTTTAAGAATATGCCGTGTTCCTATTCACATTTGGGGCTCTTTGGTTTAACATGCCTACATAGTAAACCTGCATAGTTCTCTTTGTGTAGATATGTACATATATGTCTGCCTAAGTTTGGGGAACATCTGAGGATATATGTGCTACAATAGGCATAGATTCTACGTAGTATAGCTAGAATCTATATTAATAATATTTAGAAATATATAAAGTTGAGAAAAACACACATGCATTAAATGTAACAACAATTTCAAGAATAGAAAAATCCGGAGAGCAGAAGAGAGGGGAAAGATGATCTCAACACAGTACAAAAAACAGAGTGAGTGATGGGGGTCATAGATGGAGGTAAAGAGAAAGCATCTCAGAAAACATGTATGATAATTGCAGTTGAGATCACACAGTGTATGTGTATATGCGTGTGCATGGTGTGTTTTCATTGGCTAATGGCTCCATGACCTGGCCATTGTGAACAGTACTTTAATTAATATAGCCATGCAGGTTATCTCTATTGCTTGCTACCTTTGTCTCTTTCAGGTAGACATCCTAAATGGTACAGCTGGATAGTGCGGATGCTATCATTTTAGTTTTTTGAGAAACCTCCTCAGTTGCTGTACTAACTTACATTCCTACTAACCGTATCTAAATGTCCTTGCCAGCCTCTCTGGCATGTTGATTGCTCTCTCAATGCTAGCCATTCTAACCAGGTTGGAATGGTCTCAATATAGAATTGGTTTGCACTTTCCTGATGACTAAAGATGAAATGTTTTTATTCACCATCCACTTGAACTACTTCTTTGAGAAATGGCTGTTAATTCTATACTATGTATTTATTTATCCATCTATTAACTGCGTTATTTATTCTTCTGGCATTTAAGTTTTAAAATTTGTTGCATATGTTGGTGATCAATCCTCTGTCAGATGGGCACATGGTAAAGGGGACCCCTTGGTCTGTGGGCGAGCCTTTGTTGCTAATGATTTTGCTTTGTCCAACAACCCTTCACTTAGATGCACTCCTACTTGCCAATTCTTATTTATTTCCTGAAGAACTTCGGTCCTAACCTGGAAGTCACTGCCCATGCTTACATCAAAGTATCGCCTGCCCTATGTTAGCTGGCAGTAGTATCACAACTATGGATCTTACATGAAGATCTGTGAATTACATTTTAGGTTTTCCTTTCTTATGAGTCAGGGTCACATATAGCCCAGGTTGGCCCTTGAACTCACTGTACAGCAGAAAATAACTTTGAACTCCTGGTTTGTCTGCCTCTACTTCCTAAGGGCTGGGACTATAGGAATATGTCACCGTACATAGATTAAGTCAATTTTTAAAAGTAGGGTGTAAGGTAGGGTTGTAGTTTCAATCTTTGACTACTTGTTAAAAAAAACACTGCTCTCCACTCTATGCTTTCAGCATCTTTATTGGAAACTCAAATGGCTGTACCTGTGTGATTTATTTCTGGGTCTTCTAGTCTACGTGCCTATACATGTCTGTTTTCTGTGTCACTGATTTTATTATTATAACTCAACAGCATAATTTGATGACACATGCTATAGAGCTTTCAGTGTTGCTTTTATTCCATACATGTATATATGATGGGCCAGCTATGCAGCTGGTAAGTCTCATGTTAAGTGACATTTGCCGAACTTAGACAAGTAACTGTCACCAAGCTGTGTATTTCCTTCCTTTATTTTGATCTCTTTCAGAACAAATTGGAGCATTGGCTGATCAGCATATCGTACATGTGGCATGTGGCGAGTCACACAGTCTGGCTCTCAGTGACCGCGGCCAGCTGTTTTCTTGGGGTGCCGGCAGTGATGGCCAACTGGGCCTTATGACTACCGAGGATTCTGTGGCAGTGCCCAGGTGAGAATGTTACCTAAAGGCTTCTTGATTTGGACGGTTTCCTTCATGTTGTTTTCCTTTATGCTGTCGATGAGCCTGGTAACAACATACATTGGGTTACACAGAAAATGATTATTTTTAGAAATGTCTGCCTCCAGGTATAAACATATGAGCTGGTCCAGAACTGAATTTTTTACTGGCTGAGTTGTAGCAACTGGTAAATGTGTTGACTAAAAAGGGTGCCCCTTTTGTTTTTTATACTTATTTACCTTGATCTGATGACCAGGAAGTTTTAAATTACTTTTATTTTCTTTTTCCTTTTTTTTTTTTTTTTTGGAGACAGTGTCTCGTTTAGCCTATGTAGATTCCTGGGCACTGTCAACCATAGCCTGCTCCTTAGCATTTATGAAAACAGTACATTATTTGGAGATCCCAAAGATATTGTATGTTACAATAATTACTTTCTGAAGTTGAGGTGGCAGGTAGTAGGGTTTTAGAAATGAGCCCAAGGGTGAGAGAATTTTTGTTTATTTTAAACAGTAAACTCCTAAGAGTCAGCCTAGTGAAAGCTATAGTAGAATTTTTAACAGACGAGATTACATGCTTGATTTTTTAAAAAAGTTCTTTTAGACAAGATAATACTTTTTATCAATCTGTATAGTCGAGAATGTTTCTGATAATTATGTTTCTGTGTGAATGCAAATTTAAGAAAACCCCTTTCTGTTTTAGGCTAATACAGAAGCTGAACCAGCAGACCATATTACAAGTTTCCTGTGGCAACTGGCACTGCTTGGCTCTGGCAGCTGGTAATTTATATAAATATATGCTAATGCTATGTTAATTTTAAAAGCATTTCTCCCCTGCAGTCCTATGTTATCTAACTTGAAAGCTTTAACAACAGTGACATTTATCACTCAACGTCTGTGCATCACATCCTTTCATGGAAATGTGGATGATGCAGGCATCATTGCTGTTCCTCCTCTTGGGAAAACAGAAACAAAGGCTAGGACTGTGCCTGGGGCGGGTAGGGGGAGGGGTTGGGGAATATAAAATATTTGTGGGATTTTATTTTTAAAAGCTACAATCCATTCTCAAGCTCTGTTCTGCTATGAGGATTCCAAATAAATGTAAAACTGGGAGTTAGGAAGTGTAAGGCAGTGCAAGAGCAGTGTTCTTGCTGCTTGTACTGCCCAGGCCTCCTTCCCAGAGCAGCATAGGGCTGCGGCTGCAACTCCAGCTCCTGACACTGTCCCGAGTCTCCTGGTTTAGTGTGGTCAGAAATAAGGTCACCTTGCTTAGATATGAGCCTGGTCACCAGCCTGTTTATAAGCGAATTTATTTAACCCTTCAGATTTACTTAGCCCTTAACACTTTAGATGAATGTTGATAGTCTCTGAAGGCCACTGAGGCTTGAGTTTACTTCTCTGTTGTCAAAAGCTAATTTAGACTTTGGAAATCTTTTTTTTTCTTTCTTTTTTTGAAATTTTTTATATCCTTTCTTTTTTTTAATTGGATTTTTAAAATTTACATTTCAAATGTTTTCTCCTTTCTAGGTATTCCCTTCTGAAACCCCCTATGCCATCCGTCCTTCCCCTGCCTCTGTGAGGGTGCTCCCCCCCACCAGCCACTCCCATCTTCCTGCCCTGGCATTCCCCTACACTGGGGCATAAAACACAGTGTCTTTTTCCTTTCTTTTTGGTGACTTTGATGTCTGTCAGGTAACTGGTGAATGGTGTAACAGCTGACGTATCTTTGCATGTGGAATCTATATAACTGATATCATTTTGTTTGTAACATCACTTGACCTGTTGTTATTTCAGATGGCCAGTTCTTCACTTGGGGAAAGAACAGCCATGGACAGCTGGGCCTGGGGAAAGAGTTCCCCTCCCAAACTAGCCCACAGAGGGTGAGATCTTTGGAAGGGATCCCGCTGGCTCAGGTGGCTGCAGGCGGAGCTCATAGCTTTGCCCTGTCTCTCTCGGGAGCTGTTTTTGGCTGGGGAATGAATAATGCCGGGCAGCTAGGGCTCAGTGATGAAAAAGGTACGTAAAGTCTCCGTGTACACTCTTCAGTTCAAAACCACACTTGTTTATTTAACAAATGCTTCTTGTAGATCTTTTATGTGATAGCCTGGTGTTAGCTAGGCATTGAGGGAGTAGCAATGAATGAGACAGGACATCTATGACTTTACTGACCCCACGCTCTAGTTGGTGGATGGGAATAACAAACAATAGTGTGTCATACGGCTTTGGAGTAAGCTTTGTGTTTGTCACAAGTTGGTCAGGAAGGAGCTCTCTGGTAAGAACACATTCAAATTGAGTCCTATGGGAAACCAGCTAGGAAGTGGGACGTGTAGATAACTTGGTGAGGAATGTTCCAGTCAAAGGGAACAGGAACTAACAGGAAGAGTAGTGGGGAAGCAGATGGAAGGGAGGCCATTTGGGTACTGCTACCAAGGACCCCTAGGGTTCACTTCCTGTCTCAAAGAGGGGAGAAAAAAACCCAAGGTTTTGAAGAGAGGCGTGGTCTAGTTTAAGTCACTGTAGTGAATCAAGGGGCAGGGATCTGTTGCCAGGTAGAGACAGTAGTCAAGTTTTTGTAGTACTTGATGATGGTTCTCTTCACAGGCTGTGCAGTTGGAAACAAAGGGAAGGCTGGAAGGATCAGGTTGTACGTGGGGGGCAAGGAAAGATGGCGTGAGTTGGAGTGGACAAAGTTAGGGAGTTAAGAGATTATGAGTTAAGTTGAATAAATTAAACTTAGATTTTGATGGACTTTTCAAGCAGAGTCGGAGGCAGAGAGGCGAAGCGGATGTGAGTCAGGAGACAGGGGGCTGGAATTCTTGATGATTGTTGTGTATGTCTCATGCAGAAGGCCAGCGGTACTGACATGACGTGCTGATGCTTAATTTATTGTAGATCGAGAGTCTCCGTGCCACGTGAAGCTTTTACGAACACAGAAAGTCGTCTATATTAGTTGTGGAGAGGAGCACACAGCAGTTCTCACAAAGGTGAGAGATTAGGGCACTGGGCTGTGGGCAGGGCTGAGATGGGCAATTTCAAATGTCACAAAGGAGCTAGCTGTGGTGCTAAGTTACTACTCTTGGGCTTGTATTTTCTCTTTAGCTTTGTTTTGGGAGGTGTAGAAAGAAGACTGCTTTTTAAAAACATGTCTTTGCTTTCCTCTTGGATAACCTTATATATTCTCTAGGTAGCATTCTAAATTAGTTCAATAGAAATAACTTTAAGGGCGGTGGTGGCGCACGCCTTTAATCCCAGCACTTGGGAGGCAGAGGCAGGCAGATTTCTCAGTTCGAGGCCAGCCTGGTCTACAGAGTGAATTCCAGGACAGCCAGGGCTACACAGAGAAACCCTGTCTCGAAAAACCAAAAAAAAAAAAAAAAAAAAAAAAAGAAATAACTTTAAAAATATGGTATATATACATATACAAAACAATTCCCATCCTTTGTTCTTTAAAAATAATCCATTTGAATATATAAAACAAATAATAATTTAATTGATATTTTAAAATTATTAGGTAGTCACTATTGATTCTCAAAACATTAACATGCTAGAAAGAATAAAAGTCTATCCTTCCTTCCCTCCCTCTGTTCCTTCTTTCTTTTTTGTGGCTGTTTTGAGACATGGTATTACATATCATCTTTATCCTGTCATACCACATGCATTAGTATAATTTTCAATTTCTGCCCTTCCTGCCTCTTCCTCCCAAGTACTGGGATTATAGGCATGAGGCAGCATGCCTAGCTTGAAAATGTCTTTTCATATTGAGAACTTGGCTGTCATATACTGATGTAGCATTTATTCAAGAACAAATTGAAAGTCGTCACTACCGTTTCTGGAGCCTAAGTTTCTTACATGTGAGTGAACCTGAATATTCAGTTCACCTGTTTTTTCCCTTTAAAATTTTTTCCCCTTTCACACAATACTGCACTTAAAAAAAGATTACTGCTTGTGTCTATGTATTTGTGTATTTGTGCCATGTGCATGCCTGTGGCCTGTGGAGTCCAGAGGAGGTTGTTGGATTACTTGGAACTAGAGGTACTTGTGGTTGTGAGCTTTGGATGTGGAGTGCTGGGAATAGAACTCAGGCCCTCTCAAAGAGCAGCAGTTGCCCCTCCTAAACTACTGACTAACTCTCTAGCCCTCACTTTGACATACTCTTAAAATCTCCAATGGCAGCCAGTCCTTTAAGCAGTGCAGACCTGTTCCCTAAAGCTGTAGTCATACATTCCTTTATTCTTTTCCAATTAATAAACATTCTGAGGAAATGCTGACGGCCACCAGGTGAGTGTAATACCTCGAACAGACTGGTGAGATGGAATTTTATGAATCAGGGTTAGAGGACAGCCTTCAAACTCAGTTACCACGTGACCTAATCCTTGTTCCTTGCTAGAGTGGGGGCGTGTTTACCTTTGGTGCTGGCTCCTGTGGACAGCTTGGCCATGACTCCGTGAATGATGAAGTTAATCCGAGAAGAGTCTTGGAGCTGATGGGCAGTGAAGTCACTCAGATTGCATGTGGCAGGTGAGTGTCCCCAAGAGCTTTCTCATGGTAGTGATGGAAGAGAGATCCAGAGTGGATCTGGCAGTGGAAAGCCCTGTGGACTCACTGAGCCACTGTCAATTAAAGAAATATTTTTGTTGTTGTTTGTTTTCTTTTCTCCCTACCTCTTAATCACCTGTATATGGAGAGTCAGACTGTAGTAGGTATGGAAAGGAAGAGATTTAGGTAAACAGACGAACAGGAAGACATTGACCGTCTTACAGAATAGAGGGCAAGTAGCAGAATGTCGGGAAGAGGTGGAGGAGGAGTGTTACAGGTCCTTGCTTGGGCCTGTTCTGTGTTTCTTTTATCCCAAAGGGAGGATGTGGCAGGTTGTTAATCCATTTTCACATACTGAGATCAGTAGGCACATGTGTGACCTTTGTCACAGCAATACAACGTTGTCATCTATGGTTGGGCTGGTGAGATAGTTCAGTAAGTTACAAGTCTGCCCTACAAGCACAAGGACATAAATTAGGACCCCCACCAAGCACATGAAAAGCCATCTGTAATGTCAGTGCTGTGACAGGCTGAGACAGGCGTGCGAGTTCCTGAAGCTCACTGTCAAGCCAGTCTAGTTCACTAAGAGACTGCCTTTAAAAAGGTTCAGTGAGAGATTGTCTTTAAATAAAAGGAGAAAATTATTTTTGGCCTACTCATTTGTGCAGGTATGCATATGCATATGCACATACACAAGCACAACCTCCATACTAGCAATTATAAAGCACGCACACACGCACATACACGCAGACACACACACACACACAGACACACACACACACAGGCACACACATATGAACCATAAAATCAAATTATAAAAAACTCCTTGTTTTAAGCAAGTTTATGCTTTAGTGTTGGACCACTTTCAAAGCTGTCATCGGTTTCAGCCACAATTAACCATGCCTGACGGGGTGTCACAAGTGAGGAGTCTGTTATAAACACGAGAACAAGGATAGGCTACACAGGAGCCCCTAGGAGTTTCTGTGATGTTCTGTGAAAGTTCAAATATCAGACTGAGTGCACATCACCATCAGTAGGAAGTCTGCCAATGAGTTCCTTATTCCCGCAGGCAGCACACTCTAGCCCTTGTGCCTTCTTCTGGACTCATCTATGCATTTGGTTGTGGAGCTAAAGGTCAGCTGGGAACCGGACATACATGTAATGTCAAGTGCCCATCTCCTGTGAAGGGTCACTGGGCTGCCCACAGCGGTCAGCTTTCAGCTCGAGCTGGTAAGAATGATTTTCATTGGAATTATGTTTTTAAGTAATCATAACTGTTATTTTGATATTATTTACTTGTCTTGAACTATTTTAGAGGGAATAAACAAGAGGTGGGTTTTTTCTTTCCTTTCTTTCCTCCTTCCCTCCTTTCTTCCTTCCCTTCCTTCTTCCCTCCCTCCCTCCTTTCTTTCTCTCTCTCTCTCTTTCTTCCTTTCTTCTTTTCTTTGGATACTTATCAAATCATTTGAGTACTCACTCTGCATAAAAGTCTGCAGTTGAGAGCCTAAGGAACAAAGTGGCATCAAGGTGCTTGGTAGTGTATATCTTACTGTCGTTAAGTGGTGAAAATTAATCTTCAAGTCGTAGTTGATTGCTTAACAAATTGCATTACCATAGCAATAGTAACGTGTTTGCTAGAAAGCAAGCACATGACTATTGACCATCACCCCCTTGTCAGGAGCAAAGGACTGTTCTCCCAGGAGGTTAGGGAACTTGCATAAGATCAAAAAAATTCTAGAGGCAGGTTTTGAACTCAAATCTTCCTCATTCAAAAATCCATGCCCAGTTTGTGTGGTGTCTGATGATGATGGGGTAAGACTTCCTTTAAAAGATCCTCTTGAGAAGATTGAGCAAGCAGACTGTTCATTTCATTGGAGATTAAAATTAGACAGTTATGCTTATCGACCAACTTCCTCATCCTGAAATCATATATCAGAGGTAGAAATGGAGCTGCAGAGTTATTAAATAGAAAAAGGATAATTAAATAATCAAATTTAATTTTGAATTCTAAGTTAACAAAAGTAGGGCTTGATAATGATTTAAAAATAACAATTATAAGTTCCCTTACTTTTTTTGTTTGTTTTTGTGAAAAGGAGGGAAAAGAGATTCACTCAATTGGACACACTGTGAGAAGGAACCATTGAAGGGTCCAGTGACCCACAAATTCTTTTTCCTTCCTGGATGCTAAGAAACTTAAGGCCAGGGAATGAATAGTCTAATCTTTGTAAACCTAGCATACATCACAGAGCTGCTACAGACCTGTCACTCAGCAAATACTTATGGGACAGATATGTCTGAGATGTAGTAAGCTTAAAATATCAAATAAGCACGACTGTGTGTTAGTATTCTCCGAAGCAAAGAGTGGCATCTTCTTTGTCATTTCTAAGTCTCTTTCTTTAGGCATTCTCGTCATACTCTTCACACATATGCTTAGCAAGTGTGCTCCTGGATTTAATGCTGCACGCCTGTCATACAGACACCCAGTAGGATTGCAAGGCCTAGGTCAGCCTGGGCTATGTAGCCTTGTCTCAGTCCCTCCCTCCTCCAAGACAATAAGCAAGCCAAGAAACTCAAGTTTTATTTGAAACCACACTTTTTAATAATGGACTCACAATCTGGCTTGACTTAGGTGGTTGTAAGCTTATTTCTGTATGTTTGACAAAATGTGGTACAAATAAGAAAATTTACAAATTTCATGTCATACACCATGTACTCAGGGGCCTTTGTTGAAATGTGAGACTACAGGGGATGGCATGGAGGAGTCTTACAGCTAGAGGAGGTTACTGCTGCTGGGTTGAGTTTGTCAAGGGGAGGACTGTGAGGGAGCAGGGCTGTTACCTGGAAGTGAAAATTCATGTCTAAGGAGGCAAACCATTCAAGGAGGGTATACTTTATGTGAGAAGAGGGAAGAGTTATGGAGATATGAAACAGCACGAGAGATTAGGGGTGTTAGAAGAAATAATCATATATATACATATATATGTGTGTGGGTGTATATGCATATATACCTGTACATATTCATGCATACATACATACACATACATACATACAGGTAACATTAAACAGAATGGGAAGGTGTGTGTGTATGTGTGTGTGTGTGTGTGTATGTGTAACAATAACAATTAAAAGGCCATAATTTCAAAAGGGAGAGGGGAGGAGGGTATATGGTAGATGATAAGGGAATAAAGGGAAAGGGAGAAATGATGTAATTATATTTATTTTTTTTAATTAATTTTTTTCAATTTTTTAATAATAGCAATTAGATATTCTAAAGAACGGCCCCATGATGGGATATCAACCCAGGTCTAGGAAAAGAGGTCCTCGTATTGCTAGCACCATTCTGAAGGGGTTAGAGAGGAGCTCCTGCAGATGTGTGGTTGCTATGCTTGTCACCATTTATAGTAGTGCCCATTTTAGATTTCTGGCTGGTGGCATGATGGAGTTAGCATGAGGAATAGAAACAGGGTCAGGGTTAGATGGCCGAGAGGGAGGCAGGCTGGGAGGGTATGGGCACTATTTCATATGTTTATTTTTAACTGAACTAGAAACAGTCCTGGGCAAAGAACCAGGAGGGCCTCTTTTCTGCATACAGTTAAAACAGATAAGCCCTTCTGAAGCATATTTTGGGACATCAGGAGAGGATGGACGGGAGCACCCATTGACAGACATACTGTTTGAAATGCTTTTTGACAGATCGCTTTAAGTACCGTGTCGTTAAGCAGATCTTTTCCGGAGGGGACCAGACTTTTGTACTTTGCTCCACGTATGAGGTAAGATTTTCTTTTATCACGTTTGAAGTCGAATGATGATAATCAGTTGTTTTTTTAAAAATAGCTACACAAAAGCTTTGTCTCTCTTTGTTTCTTTATCGATTTTCTCTTATTAAAAGAATCAAACGCTATCTCCACTGAACTCCTTTGAATTGCTAGTAATTATCTTGTTCTTAACATTGTAGCGTTCTAATTTATAGTGTAGAATTAATTATTTATATTCATATTTGTTCTAAAAGAAATTTAAGGGGGCTCAGAGCATTTGTGTTATTATTTTTGTTTATTCACTGTTAAGTACCAGCAAATTCTAGGCGTTTGATAACTTAGGGGGTTTCACTGTTTGGTGTGACCAAGTATATAATAAATATATGAGAAGTACAGACAAGTTCAGATTTGTTATTATTTGTCACCTGGTCATGATACCACACCAAGATTTCCCTTCTCTTGCTCCTGCATCACTCTGTCAATCCAGGTACAAAGAACAAGTCTCATACATGGGCACAGTAGTGTATACTTGTAACCCTAGTTAGTTCTTACCTATAGAGACAGCAGTTCAAGGTTATCCTTGCCTAAGAGGCCAGTTTGGGCCAGCCTGAGCTGCACAAGACCCCGTCTCAAGGGAAAAGAAAAGAAGAGGAAGGGGAAATGAGATGTAGTGTATTGCCTTTCAGGGTTCAAAGTCTGTGTAGATATAACAGTTTGTGGCATTTATTTAATTCTGCTCTTCATGGTCTAAGGCAGCCAGCTGAAGAATGCTGAGCTATGGTTCTCTTGTCTTCTCACACTCCGGTTTAAAAAGCACTGCACAGGGTAGGAGTGGGGGTAGGGGGGTGGCAAACTCAAAATTACTCAAGGCAGTAATTGGAAAAGCCGGAGTCTATGGGAGAGAAGAGCACCTGTGGAAAGAAAGGCCCTGTCCAGTTGGGAAAGTTTCTCCCTTGCTCTGACACCACCATCTGTGTCCTTAGTACCATTCTGTGATTCCATAGGAAAGGTGCTGGCCAGGGAGGTTCTGCAGCTGCACAGCCACGCTTCAGGTCAGGAGCCTGCGGGAAGCCATGTGTGTTAGCTGTTTGAAGGGAGATGTAGAATAGCTGCCTTGGGTTCAGCTTTATAACTTCACAGAGAAATCCTAAAGGGAGCTGAGGTTATGCCAGCAAAATGAATGATAAAAACACAGGGTCTCTTCAGTAGCTTTTTTTGTTTTCAAGAAGTACACTTGTAGGGATTTATTTCTGAATGAAACTGACTTGAGACTCGGTCTTTTGTTGCTGTTCTTGAGACAAGGTTTCTCTGTGTAGACCTGGCTGTCTTGGAACTCACTCTGTAGACCAGACTGGCCTCTAAGGCAGAGATTTGTCTGCCTCTGCCTCCTGAGTGCTGGCATTAAAGCCCTACACCACAACCACCTGAGAAATTGACTTAAATAATATCCAGCTGTTTTTTTTCCTAAGAATTAAACATAAAACTTAAATTTCCTTCCTTTAGTAAATATACAATATGATCTGTGTAGCCGAGTTTTAAATGTACTAGAAGTGTTGGGTATGGAAAACCACAACCCACGGATGAAAGAATGTAAGGTATACGATAGTGTTAGTTAGCTGGTAAGTTAAAGTTTCAGTTGGTGAGAAGTGTCCCCCATTAAAGTTTTAAGTTCACAGTGGAATGTTCCTCCCCTCCACCTTGAGAAGGTAGCCAGCTCAACTGAAACACAAAGTGCTGTCCTTGCAGCCATGAAAACCTTGTCTTTTCAAGTTTAAAGCCATACTTATTTACATGTTATTTTATACATATATATATTCTATATATAATAAAATACATATTCTATATATAATACATATATACATATCTTATGTATATAAAATAATGTGTGTACATATGTACTCAGTATATGCTCTAGATGCTTATTAGATACATAGATTGAAAATTATATTCTTACCTAATTACCTCTAGTTACCTTATCACTACTTTAGTATGTGAAGTGACAGCCCGAAAAATAATGTTTCAGATTCTTTTGAATTTTGAAGTATTTGCATATACATAAAGTATCTTGGAGATGGAACCCAAGTCTCTACAAGAACTCATGGCAACTCCAGTACGTCATGGAGATAATGCCGTATGACATCTTAAATCCCTGTGTGTGCAAGCATGAAAGTCACCAGGACTCATGCACACTGAAGGCATGGTATAGGGGTATAGGACATCTTAAGTTATTGTTTGTGGAAACGTGAAACACACCATGAAGACATGAAGAGGACATTTTAAATCACTGCATGCATAAACAAAGCTTTTTGCTATGGAGTTTTCCACTTCCAGTATCATGATGGTTTTGGATCTGAAGCTTTCAGGGTTTGAATGTTCCACCTGTGCTCACATGTTCCTTTGCAGTCTTCTCTTCTCCCCTGCCCCACCTCAGTGTGTCTTTGTCTCAAGCCTGTTAGATGTAATGCTCATATTCTCTCTCTCTCTCTCTCTCTCTCTCTCTCTCTCTCTCTCTCTCTCTCTCTCTCTCTCTCTCTCCACTTCCATTCCCCTTCTCTTTCTCTTTTCCTCTTCCCCTCCCGTGCATGCATGCATGTGTGCACACATCTGTGCGCACGTGTGTGTGTCTGTGTGTGTGTCAGAGAGAGAGAGAGAGAGAGAGAGAGAGAGAGAGAGAGAGAGAGAGAAAGACAGAGAGAGACAGACAGAGAGACAGAGGGAGAGAGAAACTGAACAGTGATATGGTGATTCCCAACTTTGGTTCTCCATTAGTGTCACTTGGGGGTGTAAGAAGCAGAGTTGCTCTTGTGATTCTAACTAAACTGGGCTAGAGTATGCATTGGCAAATGCCCTGGAATGGGTTTTGCCCATTGGGATGGTTCAAGGTTCTCTTGATAGTCTGCAGCCCAGCCACATTTGAGAAGCACTGACCTAGTGCAACATTTTTCTTTTTGGCCTGTATATAACCAGCAAGTATGAAGGCCTGGGTGTACAGCTCAGGTATTCGTACTTCCTAGCATGTGGGAGACCCAAAGTTTCATTTCCACACCCATGGAGGGGGACATTATGCTTTTTCTTGTATCTGTGGGTTATTAAATACATGATGAAGAATGAATACAATAGTTTGAAGCCTGCATGTATTTTCTGTAAATTTGTGTTACGGTTGGTGTTCAGTTGTCCCTTTGGGGACACATTTCAAGTTTGGTAGTAGTATTTTACAGCTAAAATGGAGGAAAGGTGTGTGTTTAAGTTGTGTATGTTGAGCCGGGCAGTGGTGGCGCATAGTGGTGGCTTTAATCCCAGCACTTGGGAGGCAGAGGCAGGCGGATTTCTGAATTCGAGGTCAGCCTGGTCTACAGAGTGAGTTCCAGGACAGCCAGGGCTATACAGAGAAACTCTATCTCGAAAAACAAAACACACAAAAACAAAACAAAACAAAAAGTTTTGTATGTTGGTTTAAGAGTTTCTTTGATATAATTCAATATATATTTGTCATATGTCTAGTCATTTTTGTAGAATAGTTATCAAGAGCCAGATAATATGATGTGTGTTATAGGTCCCTTTCTTTCTCTATATAATGTTAAATCACAACTGTAGAGTGGAACCAGCAAGCTTCCTTTGAAAGCTATATTTTATGTACAAGTAGAAAGGAGGAAACAGTGATTTTTCTATGCATTGCTGGCTGACTGCTTGAATATTCCTTCCCCTCCCTTAGGAGGCATAAAGCGCCATCAGCTTTTTCTTAGTTCGGGATTACAAATAAATGTTGGAGGAGAAAAGTTGAAAACAGGCAGGTTTAGAGAATAAAAGTGTATAAAAGAATAATAGTTTCTTTAGAGACACCACTAAATGGGTTGGCACATTGGCTCAGAGAAGAGTGGTGCTGCCACTGAGTGGGCCATCCCTGATCTATCCCGGAACCAGCAATGTGGATGGAAAGAACTGACTCCTTGTATTATCTTCTTACTCCACACATATACCCTTGTATGCATGCACACACACACAGACACAGACATACACATGCACACACATAAAACTTAATAGTCATTGGAAACAATAATATCACTGGGGTTGGAAAGCTGGCTCAGTGGTTAAGAACATTCATTGGTTGCTTTTCCAGAGGACCCAGGTTCGATTCCAACATGGCATCCCACAGCTCTATACAACTCTAGTTCCAGGGGATCCATTGCCTTCGGGTTTCTGTGGGCATGAGACATGCAGTGGTACCAGATGTGCATGCTGGTAAAACACTTATATATGTAAACATAAAATGAAAATGTATGTATCACTAAAGAAAGGATGTACAGTTCGGACAGTATTTGGGATTTTCAGAGCTATGATTAACATCCCTTTTGATACTTTCAGAAAGTTTATAGGCTCAGTAGTGAAAATGTCCTGCAAAGTGTTCGGATAAGCATTCAGATCTCCAGAACCCTTGTAAAAGTCAGGTGGTTGTGGCTTTAGTCCCATCATTGGGAGGTGGACACAGAGCTATCTGGCTAGCCAGACGAGCCATTGATCAGCTCTAGGGTCACTTAAGAGACCTTATTTCAATGAATAAGGTGGAGAGTGATAAAGGAAGAGTGACCAAGTCAACCTCTAGCCAGTACATGCTTGTACATGCACATGTGTGTACCCACACACATGAAAATATACCCATAAAGGCATGCACAGCACACACAAACACTTGAGGGGGGAAAAAGCACTTGAGACTGAATTTTCAGAAATTGCTTACACTATAACTAAATTCTGCGTTTGTTTTTTAAACATATTAAAACAGGGTTTTATGTAGCCCTGGCTGGCCTTCAGAATTCACTATTCACTGTATAGCCAAGGGTGATCTTGTACTCTTGATTCTCCTCCTTGTCCTCAATTCTAAAGTTCTGAGATTACAGGCATGTACTGTTATGTCTGTGTTAACCATTTTTTATACTATATTTTATCAGAGTTGAGGGAGCAGTTAGGGCAACCAATACCTCTATGACCTGGTGACTCAGAGCAAGGGGAAGGAGACCTGGAAAGCTTGTAATAGAGTTGGAACACTCTAGAAGAGCACCTCCTCACGGGTGAAGGAGAGGGGGTTTGATGGAGGGAGGTGCTGGGCTTGCAAAGAGACCTCACCCAGTGCGGTATGGTGACCTGAAGTTGAGGCAAGGGAGCTGAGCTTTTGTACCGTAGCTACCTGCCACCAAGTATGATAGAACAGTGCGGTGGCCTAGGGAAGATCCTGAAGATCAGCCTGCATCCTCACTGCAGAGTGGGGACTGGTCTCTGCTCCAAGGGAGAGGATGTGGGAAGCTTCAGTTCATGAAGTGCGATCTGGGGACCACAATGAGGAAGGAAGGGGGAGAAGATCCATGTCTGTAATTTCTCTTATCTCTTGTATTTATTTCTCCAGAATTCTTCTCCTGCTGTTGACTTCAGAACTGTGAACCAAACACATTATACCCACTTAATAAATGACGAAACCATAGCAGTTTGGAGACAAAGACTCTCAGAACACAACAACGCAAATACCGTCAAGTACGCATTTGTCTGCCTTCATTTTGCTGCTTCTAAAGCATGCTGGAGTTTTCTAGCCCAGTGACTGATATTCCCTGCACCTACACTGTGGTTATGAATATGAATGGAGCCTTGCATTTATGAAATCATTTTTGTATATTTATTTGGAATTTCATCTCATTAGCTCCCAGCTAACAGTGGTTTGTTTGCCCTCCGATATTTATTCCTCACCTTGACATATCATTGCAAGATTTGTGACATCCTCTGAGGGAAAGCTTGAGATCATGTCTCTGCTGAGAGCTCTCTGGATTATGTTGCATATAGAAATGTTTTTTTTCACACTGGTGTTTCAAGGAATCATGAATATTAACAGCCTTTCATTACTTTAACTAATCTGAGTAACTTCTACAGTTTTGTCATTCAATGTGATTAGTTGAAATGATAATTCAGAGTCTTCTGGGTAAAAGGTACATTAAAAATGCAAGACTGGTTGGGTTTGGAAAATAGTTTTCTGTACATTTTTATACATTTTTTTGCTTTGATCAGCATTTCCATACTTTTCCTATAGTTTCACTTATGAAAACAAATAAATTAGTCTGTGTAACAAAGACAGCTGTCCTAACAAGTGTACAGTGGGCCTTGCTTTATGGTCAAAGCTGTGCTAGAGCAAATGCCCAGGCCCTACCCTGCAGCAGCTTATGGAATCTCCTGTGTTTTAGGCATTGTCACAGAACTGAGAATGGGGGTGGGGAGGACAAGAGAGGACAGGCTGCTGAGCAGCAGGTGACCTAGAAGCATGGGCTTTACCTGGACTTCTGTTTTCTTAACAACACAAGCTAGAGGGACTCATCCCTAAAGATCTTACTTGATCCAAATGCTACAGCTGACGGAGGTTACCATGCTCTCCTTCCTAGCCGTTTGCTTGTTTCATCCCTTGTTTCTCCTGGCAATCCTGGGTCCTCACGGAGTAGACCCTTCCACAGACTCTGTAGAATTTAGGTATTAGGAATAAGTTTTTATTTCCACTCATCCTTAGCTTCTTTCTCAGATGGTCAATAGAATAGGCAGACATGATTGGACATGTGTTAACTTCTGTACTTGGGAAATAACAGCTCTCTTTTTCTGTTTGTTTGAAATGATGGTCAGAGTATCCAAGCTTTTTGTTAGAAAAAATACATACATACTCATATATATATGTGTGTGTGTGTGTGTGTGTGTGTGTGTGTGTGTGTGTATATCTTGTGGGATACTTGTTCTTGTCCATTTGGAGGCAAAGCATTGTTCTCTAATGAAGTATGCACTGATGACCCAATAGAGGATAGCTAGGAAGATGTCTTGTTACTGAAGCTTATATAAATTCTGTTTGAAATTCTTAAAGACTCCTTTCTCCTTTTCTGTCTTGAACAGTGGTGTTGTTCAGATACTGTCTTCTGCAGCTTGTTGGAATGGAAGCTTTCTGGAAAAAAAGTAAGTGTCATAGGTGCTTCAGAAGCCATCTGTAATGTAAATACTTAGCAAGGCCATGAACGACTTCTCCATAGTGCTTGGTTTTACTTGAAGGGGAAAGCTGACATTTGTATAAAAACTGAAATATCCATTAATGATGAATTAGAGGATCCTAGGGTAGTGGTGTTTGCTCACTCCTTGCTGGGGCAGATTTGCAGAGAGAAATGATCCCTCGGGAGATCTAGTGTGACACAAAGCCAGAACTCCAGGCTGTCCCAAAGTGCTGCTCTCACATGTGTGTATGATTTGTTCTTAAATTCAGAATTCTCCAGTAGTTTTTTGTTTCTGTAGCTTGCTGAGGTAATTTTTCATTTCTCAACAGGAGTGAAGTCATGTAGAGGTCTTAGAGAGGCTTCGTTCTGGGTCCTGTGGATTCAGTCAGGCTCAGCTCTGGCCAAAACCAGAGGCAGCAAATGGGATGCCTCTTTGGCCTTATCTTTTCTGCAGACGGCCCCTCAGGAACTCATGCAGCAAAATGACCTTGCCAGGATGACCTTGCCAGGAATTAGGATCTTCAGGGTTCCCATGGGCTATCACCATATGGTTCTTTTCAACCACTGACTAGGTTAATGGTAGATTAGGACGAGTATGTCAGCCAGCTCTCTGTTATTGTGAAAAATACTGGTGATAACTGAAAAAGACATGTTACCCTTGGGTACGTTTGCAGCATCTTCAGTCCATGGTCAGGTATCACATTTCTTTAGGGCCAGTGGTAAGGACATCCATCATTGTAGGAGAAAATTCCACATAGAAGCTACTCATCTTATGTTGGCTGTCAGGGAAGAGACAGGAAAGGACAGAGTTCCAGTATCGAACGGTACAAACACTATATCTCAACTTCTAAGTGCTCCGCTCCCTCTCAGTGATGCTCCAGTCGAAGTCCATGCTTCCTACACTAGCTGTTAAGCACGCATTCCAAATGCAAAGTATAACAATGAGGACTAAGTGGAGTGGGTAAAGGGGAAGCTGATCAAGATAGATGGAGAACAGTGAGCTCAGTTTCCAACGTTTACTAGTATGGAAATGTCCCTATGTAAAACAATACTATGTGTCATTAATATATATAATCAAAGAACATTTTAAGTATAGCAATGAGTTAGACTTTAGTTCTCTGTGTGATTTACAGATCTGCCACCTGATTCAGTTATAGCACACCTGAGCATAAACCCAAAGGACTCCGTGTCCTACTATAAGGATACCTGCTCATCTGTTTTTAGGGTTGGAATGCTCACCTCAGTATGTATCATGTGAGATCAACACACCAACCATAAACTTTGGCCACACCTTCTGGTGCCAGCCACATAAAAGCTTTTATTTTTTTGCCTATTTACCCTGACTCTTCAGGACAGTATTATTTGTCCTGTTGCTGAGCCATTCCTTTGCTGGTATTAAAACCTACTTCAGGATTCTAACATAAACCAAAGACCAGTGAGATATCCAGACACATAGTCTAAAAAAAACGACTGAATTTCGGTCATTTTCTGGGAAAACAGTCATTGTGGACTAGTCAGACCATATCCTGTAAGCCATTCTAATAAATCCCATGTATATGTATGCATTCCATCTAATGTGTGACTAAGAAATATCTTTAAAGTTATTCAACATCCTTAATGATTAGGGAAATGCAAATTAAAATGACTGAGATATCGTCTTACCCCAGTCAGAATGGCTGAGTTCAGGAAAAAAACTAACAGATAATGTTGGAGAGAATGTGGGGGAAAGGGAGCCTTTTTTCATTTGGAGTTTTCCTAACAACATAGGAAAAAGTCCTTCCGCCTTTGTTCAAGGTTATCTCTAGGATATTAAAATTAATGTCTTGGTTAATTCATTGTAGGAACAAGAACAAAATACTTATCAAGGAAGTCTAAGGAGCTGTTCTGGGTTCTGCCATTTTAATTCTAATATATGCAATGCCTACATTCTGAGTTTTCATCTATTATAGCATTGTCAGAGATTGTTAAATCACTTGTCTATATACATTACTCAGCACAAAGCCTGTTTTTCAAATGGCTATTTTGAAAATTAATAGATATAATATATTCAAGAGTGACAATCTTAGAGATATCCTTTGTCTTTAGGAAGCTAAGACTATGTGGAGTTGGAAAAATGATTTTATTGCTAATAAAGTTTGAACACTAGCTGTAAAATCCCCGGTATGTAACTGTAATTGAATCTGTTTAAGTAAGATAAGAGGGTCGATGTGCCACTTTTTAGGAGTGGGCCCTTATTGCATAAGGGAAATGTGTGAGTGTGGGTGGGTGATTGCAGCCAGCCGCAACATCCACATCTAGCAAAAACAAAAACAAAAACCCATAAACCATAGAAGTTGGTTGGGCAAGGGACCTGCTTTCATGCTTTGTGAAGGCCTGGCTTGAAATGGTAGTTTCTTCTTTGACTTGAGGGGGAAAAGGTTTGAAAATTTTTAAGTCATGTTTAACAGTGGAATTGTACCCAGTGCTTAGGGGACAGAGGCAGGTGGATCTCTGTGTTCAGGGCCAGCCTGGTCTACATAGAGACTTCTAGGCGGGCAGGGGCTACCTAATAAGACCCTTTCTCAAATTAAAATGAAACAACCAAAGTGGGGTAGGTAGACTTGCTTTAAGGCTTAATCCTCTGGTCTTTCCCAAATTAGTGTTCCTGAATATCTTATCTACTAGGTCAAATTAAAATCTGTCTAGACTGGGGTAGCTAATTAAGTACGTATAGTTGTTGTTTTTTTTTAATTCCCTTGTGTTTAATTACATATGGATTTTTGTTTGTTTGTTTGTTTGTTTAGAATTGATGAACATTTTAAAACCAGTCCCAAAATCCCTGGGATTGACCTGAACTCAACTAGGATTTTATTTGAGAAGTTAATGAACTCTCAGCACTCCATGATTCTAGAACAGGTACGTTGCTTACATTCATAAAATTCAGTTTACTTTGAAGAGTTCTGTTGAAGTAATAACTTACATAGGCTTATTCTTGGGCTGACCATCTAAGCAGGGGTGGCTCTGCTTAGCTCAGGCCAAAATGCCAAAGCCAAGCACTCCGTAGCTGGAAGTGGCCAGAGGCCACACGTGCGCACCACAGCTAGAATCGGCCAGCCAGAAACACCGACCCTGGCATCCAAGAGACGCCAGTGTGCGAGATGGCTCTGCCAATCTTCCATGCTGTCTCCACAATGCTGGGCTGAGCCCAGACCATCCTGCCATCCACGAGGGCCCGGTAGGAATGAGACTCTAATGCTTAGATTATCCAAAGGCTTTATATATTTGGTAATGCTCAAAAACAAGATGCCCACACAATTAGAGGTCTAACCCAATACCTAATCTAGATATATCAACTACCTTTGACTGCTAGAGACAGGCACACATCTGCTTCCATGTTCCCCTCTCTCTGGTCCTCTCTCCCCTAGCTCCTCCTCTTCTTTCTCCTCTTCCTCTCCTTATTCCTCTTCTTCCTCTCCTTACTCCTCCCACATTAGCTCCTTCCAACTTGTTGTAAAAATATCCCCTACAGAGTTCTGCTCTTAAGACAAAGGGAACAGCAAGAAGAAAAGATACATCCTGTACAAGCTGTAACTTTGCAAAAGCGTTAGTGTTGGGGCTTGTGCTATCTGTTGCTCATATCTTCCTAAGGAGTTGCCTCTAGAGTGTTAGGTCTGTGGGGTGGGAACTTCCTTCCTTCTCCTCTGTGTGCTGGGAGTCTGAAGCTCCTTCTGTTTGCTCTGTGGACACCACCAAATGAATGAGCAACTGAGTGGTTGTGAGTTCATTAAATCTTATAAATTTGGAGATGAGTTAAGTCTCAGATATGTTTACATTTTTCACTTCTCTTTTTCTTTCTTACAGATACTAAACAGCTTTGAAAGTTGCCTCATTCCGCAGTTGTCAAGTTCACCCCCAGATGTGGAAGCAATGAGAATCTATTTGATACTGCCGGAGTTTCCACTGCTTCAGGATTCTAAGTATTACATAACGCTGACCATTCCCCTGGCGATGGCCATTCTGCGGCTGGAAACGAACCCTAGCAAAGTCTTAGGTAAATTCATCAAGTTTAATACTACTGGCCTTTGACTTACTCATTTTGTTTTGTCAGCTGGCTCTTGTGGACTGAGATCTAACAATCTATTTGTTGCCATTTAATAGCTTTCCCACCTACTCCTTTCTTTGCTGTTGACATCTAGCTAACCTTGTTTGCAATTCGGGTGAACTGATCTCATATTTAACTCATGTGAAATGATTCATGGGAGATTAATCTCAATTTTGAGATATTCATAAAGTTAGGTTATTCAACTTTAAACTGCCCCTCCCCCCCATTTGCTTGCAGTTGTAATGCCTCAAATATTAGTATCCTTCTGTCAGTCCATCTCCAGTGCTGATGTGAGCGGGTGGGAGCCAAATGACCCGATTATGGGATGCAGAGATCTCCATACAAGGAGGGACAGAGTGACCCAGTGAGGACTTACGGATTGTTTGTTTTCTTTTTCTTTTTTAGGACAGTTGAGTCCACACTGATTTTTGCAGGCTCCGGACACTTTGCTGAGATAAGAACCTTCTGTTCCTCAGCGGGCTGGAGAGGGTCTCTGCTGGAGTAGCGCCGAGACGTTTTTTTAGTAATCTGGTGCAGACACCTGTCCCCTGGCTTTTGACTTTTTTTCCCCTCCCTTGGTAATTTTTCCAGGTGTTCCTTTCAACTTGGTAACGTCTGTGGTTCAGGTGGCCTGAGTATCAATACAGCATGGTTTGCCCTCAAGCAAACTGACCTGCTTCTAGCTATTCCATTGCTTCTGCCTTCCCACAAGAGTTATGATGACCTCATCAGTAATACGTTAGCACATGCTACTTCCCAACATCAGGGCCTGTTCAGAGCATGTGTTCTTGGCTGCTAATAGGTGTAAAATGTTTTAAAAGACATTTTATCAGACTTTTAATTTTTTGGCATTTTAGTTTTTAAAATTTTTCTAGGCCAGATAGCACAAAACAGAACTGGATTATTCGGTTTTATAATTAGTCTATTTCTGACATCTACCAGTTCAAACTGAAGAGAAAACCTTAAAGTAGAGCAAACCCAACAGATGTTTGTCACACAAACCCAACAGCTCTCAATAGTTTGTCCTTTTTATTTGATGTTTCTCCCACTGTGATTTTTTTTTAAGGTTTCTTTTATGTATATGGATATTTTGCCTGCATGTATGCGGTGTACCATATGCGTGTCTGGTGCCGTGGAGGCCAGAAGAGGGCATCAGATCCCCGAGAACTGGAGTTTCAGATGATTGTGAGAATGAGTGTATGTGGTAGGAATCGAACCTGGGACCTCAGGAAGAACAGTCAGTGCCCTTGGACATTGAGCCAGCTCTCCGGCAGCCCTCCCCCCTTTAATTTTTAATGAAATATTTTAAACAAGGAAACCTTACGGATTTCAGTATGGCTGAGTTCATTTATGAAGATACAGTGATATAATCCTGCTTGAACGGAAAGGTACTGCTCGGAGTGAATAAACATGATCAATTTCTTAAAGCTATTATGCCTCATAACAGGAAGGAATAGTTTCCCACGTCCTCTAAGTGTGATGTGTCTCTTGTACAAAATGTCAGTAGTGGCTGAGAGCAGTCCCAAAAGGTTGAGGGCGCACAAACACTACTGCAATAGCTGCAGTCAGCATTCTGTTGGAGTATGTGTCCAGTCCCCACACAGCCTTGGAGCTGAATGTTTTCAGATTACCCTTTAGCCTGTATCTGAGAAAAACAAAAATAATGAAAACTCCAACATAAAAACTTTCAAGAAAGAAAGAAAGAGGCAGGGGATAGAAAGGAGTTAAAAGTTTTAGGGCCTCTTGTGTTGCTGTTTCTCCACACATTTTAATGGTTCCTTTGAAAGATCATTTTTGAGAAACTGTCTTGTAGACTAATGCTTACCTTCTAGCCACAGGATTTATAGCTAGCAGGAAGATGACCTAAGAACACTTGTCCAGGGTTCTGTGCTAAGACATGTCTTTCTTTTTTCCTTTCTTAAGATAACTGGTGGTCTCAGGCCTGCCCAAAATATTTCATGAAGCTAGTAGCCCTCTATAAAAGTGCCGTCGTTTACCTCCTAAGGGGAAGGAAGACATTCCTAATTCCAGTAGTGTTTAACAATTACATGACTGCGACCCTCAAGCTTCTGGAGAAGTTGTACAAGGTAACCCTTGGGGATGAAGAGGGAGGGTGTGGAGGGAGGAGGCATTCTGCCCCAGGCTTTCTCTGGGAGACTTCCCAATTCTTTGATTTTACTTGTTCTTATTTTGTTCTTCATCAGGTAAATCTTAAGGCGAAGCATGTGGAGTATGATAAGTTTTATATCCCTGAGATTTCTAGTCTTGTGGACATTCAGGAAGACTACCTCATGTGGTTTTTGCATCAGTCCGGGATGGTAAGAATTTCCTGTAAAGCATATTTTAAGGCTTTAGCCTTTTTGTTTGTGTTTGAAGTGTGCACTTGACCCATACACCTTGCCTTTGACTTGAATGCTCTTGCTACTTTGGAATTCTTGAAACTTGGAAGTATTTTAGGTAACCATAAGTGTCAAAAGTTTCATAAAGTATGTGGGGCTAGGGTTGTAACTTAGGGTTGGTGGACTTTGTGTTTAGCATGCTCAGGGGTCTAGGTTTAATCCCAAGAACTACCTTTAAAGAAAAGAAAAAAAGAAAAGTAAATCCAAGTATCTAAAGCAGTCAGATTGATAAATGCAGAAAGTGGAATGGTTGGCAGAGGTGGTTTGGAGGCCCTGGGAAACTCGAGTTGTTTTTAATGCATTTTAGGTTCCAGTTCTCCAAGATGAGACAGTTCTGGAATTCTGTTGTACAACAGTGTGGCTGTTTCCGGGGCTCTTGTTCATCTATCAGTCTATTGATTTTAATATTTTATTTTATGTTTTTGAGTGTTTTATTTGAGTGTTCTCTGTACTGCTGTGAGCTTCTATATGGGGGCTGAGAATCAAACCTGGGTCTTGTACTCTAACTGCTGAGCCATCTCTGTAAGCCCTTATGGTTTTTGTTTGTTTGTTTTGTTTTGTTTTTGAGATAAGATCTCATGTATCCTAGGGTAGCTTCTGACTCACACATCTAAAGATGACCTTGATCCTCCTGCCCCTCACCTCCTTCCAAGTTATGCAATTATTAGTGTGTGCGCTTCTGTACTTATAGTTTATGCATTGCTGGGTATCGTCCTGAGGACTTTGTTTATCTAGACAAGCACCCACCTAGTGAACTCTATGTCTCTACTCCATGTAAATACTCTTAATATTGCTGATTCATACACTTGAAAATAGTGAGAATGATATAGATTTATACTGTTTACTTACTTTTTTGAGCCACAATTAAAAATCAAGATATTAATATATAAACTTAGAACATTTGTTGGGTCTTGGGCGAACTGGCACATAACTGGCTTCTAGAAGTCACTAGGTGGCTGGTGCGAGAGCATCTTCTAGATGAGGCTCTGTGTGCCACATCCCCACTGATTTATCCCATACAGGATCACTGGCTCTTCGTTTTCTGAGAGTAAGACTATTTCACTCTTGTTATGTCAGCTTTCCAGACCCTGTGGACACCTCTTATTGAGGAAAAGTCAAATACAGATGTTATACATTCCCGCCCCAACTTTGATGATGTTTGACACAGAACTCAAGTGTCTGTGGATTCCTGCCTACCATCGTAGGCATGGCAGCAATTGCTCAGTGATAGCAGATTGGCCTGGATATATGAATTCATATAAATCTGAATATCAGAAAGCAAGTGATCATTTAGTACTTGTGGAAACACATCCAGCTGGTGCAGCAGATACCTCTGAAATGAGTTTTTGCTAGTCTCACAGACTCATCACCAGTGTTCAGATGGCATTTTTTTTTCCTGTATAGTTTTTAGCTCTGGAGTGGGCTCTAAAGGCAAAATATTTATATAAGTGTATTTGACAAAATAGGCCAGTTAGTTTTCCTTGTCAGATGATAGATGATCAAAGTAATGGAAATATTCTAATGAAAAATTAAAATTTTTGGGACATTGTAATTTTTGTAAGGTTTTGTTATTATTTTGAAAACAAAAATACTTTTCAGTAGAAATCATGTTTTAAAAGAGTTTTGTTGGAATTTTAACATGGGAGCATCTGTGGGCTCTAGTCTTGCTTTCTTTCAAAATTATGAAAAGTCAGTTTATAAATTATAAAATGTTAGAGATAGACACGAGTCTTGAGTTATTTCAGGTAACTGCTTCGCCCCTAGGTAGAACACAGAGGCCTGGGCAAGTTGAACAGTTTTATCTAACTCGGTTTGCTCTGACATTCTATCCTTCTCTTTTCTTTCTGGCCTTAAGAAAGAAGTTGCTTACATGAGAATGTTAATGCTCATAACCATGGTCTCTGAGTAAAGGTACTGAAATAAGCAGTTTTACTAGTTTCTTTCTGTGAACATGTAATAATCAAATGTCTTATTAGATCTCGAAAAATTTTCGTCTCCTCTTTGCTAGTTAAAGCCATTACTACAACAAGATAGAAAATCAGCTGAAATTTGTGTGTGACATTTTATGCTTCCAGTAGAAGGAAGCATAAAATTTTTTCTATTACATAAGTGTAATTAGAAGTTGAAATTTAAGCTTCTTGATGTCTTAAAGTTTTGCCTTAAATGCTGGTGGAATTTTATATAGGTTTTGTTTTAGTCACTTAAAAATAAAGAGTAATTGGTTTGCTGTATTAATATTTTAGCCTGGTACTAGCACAGTGAATAGGAGAAAGCACATGGTTCATCCTGAGAGGACTGTCTGGGCATAAGTGGTGTCCCTGCATTGCTGAGGCCTGCAGAGAAATGAATCATGGAGAGGCAAGAAGGAAACTCAGTTCAGCAAGATCTAGCCAGGCTGGCTCAAACTTCTGAAGTCTGACACCAGGCAGTTAATTTTAGACATATTTAAGTACAGTACAATTTTGGAAAAAAAGTTTCCTGTAATAGTTATCTCCATCCCATGTGTACAATACAGGTTAAAGTGTGACTATATCAAAACTGTGTAGTAAAGAACATGTTATGTATATCATGAAGATGGGTTCCATAGGTTAAGGACCTAGGGGAAGATCTGAGGTCACCAGACTATAAAGCATGTGTGGCATCTCCTCTGAGGATGGGTTCTATTGACGGGCAAACAAAGCTAAAGGTAAAGGCTTATGTGAAAATGCTGGTAAAATGGACTCACAGAATTGGAAGGAAAGACAATGGACCAGAGCTGCATGCAGCAGAGAACTACCAATCTATACTGTTCACTGTTACATCTCATCCAGCTGCAAGCACAAAGACTGTGCCTGATGAGCAAGGAGCCAGGAGCAGGGGAGACATCTGCCACAGGGAGATGTGCCATGGCCTGAAGCTCCTGTAGAAACAGGTCAGTCAATACCAAAGAGGGCTTGCCCTAGGCCTGCTGGCTAGCCCCCAACATGAAGCCACCATGGTTGCATCTGGTGCTGCTTGTCCTGCTCGGAGATGAAAGGCACAGGGCATCAGTGCTGCCCACATCCTCCAAGCCTAACCCTGGTGACTGGCACCAAGGACAGGGTGGTGTGCTGCAGGCAGCCTGGCGCTCCCTTGGAAACATGTCATTAAAGAATAGGGCTGCTGCCCTGGACCTCTCAGCTAGCCATCCACCACTGTTGACCACTGTGACTGGAGAACCAGGTGCAGTGGTGCTGCCTGCATCCTACAAGCTCAACAGTAGGTCTGCCCGCTGGCCCTCAGCCTGAAGCTGCTTTGACTGCAGCCCACACTGTTCTGTTAGAAGACAGATAAGGGCTGTGGTACCCTCAGGCTACAAGCACCAAGGGCAAGTCTGGCAAGCCTGGGGTGGCTAAGATCAAGAACCTAGCCACAACAATATCCTAACTCTGGGCAACAGCAGGACATCTAAGACTCCCGGCAATGGTCCAATATTTATGGTGCTTCAGAAACCAGACACCTTGAACCAGACCGATGACTCATTGCAGTAAATATTTGGATGTAAGTCTGTACACCGTGTGATAGAGTGCAGTTTCCAGAGCTACTACAATGAATCCTTACATGAGGGAGAGGTAGGAGAGATTGAGGAACAAAGAAGCAGTGACATGGAGCTAGGGACTGGGTGCTGATGTCAGGTGTGAGAGAAAGCTACTGTGGACACAGTTGGAGATTGCTGTGAATAGGGTGATGGGAAGCAGCCTGGAGCTTGTGTAGACTTGGCCCCAAACATGTTACCCAGCCAAATGAATGCTCTGGTTCTGAGAAACAACAGGATGTCCGAGATGAAGATCAATTTTTTTTTTCTGGAGTGGACTACCTCAAAGACCTCTATGGTCCATGCTTTCCCTGGAGCCCATGTTCATTTCCTTAGTCTGCTACTCCAGGCCCTGTTGAGGCCTAAGGTTCATGTGGGTTGTTCATGGTCTGGGCTGCCACTGGAGGCCAGGTAGATGTCCATAGTCTGTGCTACCACAGGAAGCCATGTTGGTGTCCATGGTCTCCAGGTTGCCCCTAGAGGTTATGTCCATTCAAGTGGACTGTGCAACCACCTGGTTCCGTGTTGATGTCCTTAGTTCATGTGGTTGCCAGAAACTTTGTGCAAAGTCCATGATCTGTGCTTCTGTTGACTGTTAAGGGCAAGAAAGCTACTTTTTCAATGATATCAATGACTATAGATTCACAGTTGAGAAAGCTTCTGTGACACCTCCTCCCCGTGAAAACCGTAACAGCCTGGACAGAAAGCTATCAAAGAGAACTCTTAAAAATTATGATAAGGATGCTAAAGTGTAGTTCTCCATAATGGTTTCTAGCAGGAGTGTGGTTAGGGAAGGACTGTTTTCTTTAAGGTGCTGGCCACTGTTAGTTTGATCATACTCCACTGAGTATATTGACAACATAAATTGGACTTGTTTTTTTGTATTATTTTTCTTCTTTTGTAGAAAGAGGTCACAACAGTAGGGAAGAGGCAGACCTGAGAGGACTGGGAAGTAGGTGTGATCAGGGTACACGATGTGAAATTCCCAAATAAACAAAAAAACAAATACTACATTGAAAAAAAATAAGAAAGGAAAAGGAGGAAAGGGGGGAGCAATAGTGGTTTATCTTATTGGTTAATAATGTGCCATAGTCTTCATTTGAAAACTAAAAGGCAGATAGGGTGAATGTCTTCGTAGGCTCTGTAGAGGGCAGTACAAGTGAGACATTCAATGGTTTGCAAAGGCCTTCAGAGACAAAAATCTGAGAAATCTTGACATCTTGCTGGTGCATCAGAGGAGGTGCAGAATGTGGGGAGTGTTTGCCTTTAGATGTCAGTACTGAGCACATGCAAGGAAGAGAAGGCGGAGCCTGAGCAGCTGTAGCTCTGTTTCAGTCTCAGGCCTTATATGTTTATGCGCAGAGCCTCCTGGTCAGCATATCTAGAAGTGTTGATTTCTTTTTTAAGAAAGGATGTTTATGATTCTTCAGCTCTAAACTATTTACTAATTTATGGCTTCTGTTTCATATGGTTTGAAAAAATGAATTTATGCCATAAGTACAACTCTGTTGTAGGCAGAGACCTTGGCATTCACTGTTACCATGGAACCTTAAGTTTGTAAGACCCATTTCTGGGAAATGGATAGCCCAGGATAAACAGCCTTATAAAAGGTGATCAATTCATTAGTTCAGTTAAAAATATTTTGATATTATTAGTATAAGAGTGACCTAGAGTGACCTGCATTATGTGTGCACTGACCTGCATTGTATGTTCCAGACTTGGTCCCATGGACTGGAATTGTCTCTAGTGTTTCTCGGTGTAGAGAAATGTTCTAAGATCCCTCGAGGAATATAGTTCTAAAGTATCAATAGGATGGATTTTCATTATTATTGCTGTTATACAGCTTCATTTAAATATGCATAAACACAAAAGGAAGTGTAGTTCTTATTCATATAATATACATAATATACATAAGAAAACAAAGTTAGCCAAATGTTAAGCTTCACTGGCCCAGAGTGGTGAGCTAGTGTGTCCCCTGGAAGTGAACATTCCAGCATTCTAGAGAAAGACTTCAGCCACCAGGCTCAGGCTTGATTCTCCCACAGGCCATCAGGAATGATTCAGCTCTTTTTCTCCCTCTGCTGTTAAATCTTATTCATGGAGCAAGCTAGTATTGGCTTTTTCCTTAGTAACCGCAGCATCTACCAGGAAAAAATTTCTTTTTCTTTTCTCACTGTGCTTACACAGTTAAGCGTTTATAACCCACCCCACAGTCATTAACAGATAAGGGTAAATTGTGTGATTACACACAGGTAAGAAGAGATCTTCCAGAATGTTTTTATTTTGTTCAGAAAATCATTTTAAGAACACAGAACATTCTGGGAGACATTAAAGCAACAGCAATGTAGTACACTCAGGTCTCTAAGCCTGAATTTCATTCATTGTTTTCTTTTGATAAATGTCACAGATCAAAATGATCTTTATTGCTTATTTTTGTGTTTCTGTTAAAGGTATTTATTACATAACTGTCAAGAGCACACCATGCTAGAAACAAAGACAGATATGTTTGTGTCTTTCTGCAGTATCAGTTTATTGAACAACAGTGAATTCAAATTTACTAGTCATTTTCCACATTGCTGTGAGTATAAGCCTGAAAAAAAAAAGCAATTTAAAGGGGTTCGGAGAGATACAGTCCCTCATGGTGGATGAGGCATGGCATTGGGGGCAGTTGAGTCCATGGTATCACTCAGATCTCTCTCTCTCTCTCTCTCTCTCTCTCTCTCTCTCTCTCTCTCTCTTCTGTAGGCCCTTCTGTAGCCTGATCTGGCCTCAGAGTCAGAGAATGACCTTGACCGTCTTATCTACCCCTGCCCCTAGCCTCTCTGAGTGAGAGGGTCATCAGCATGCACCACCATGCTCAGTCTATGTAGTGCTGGGAATCCAGCTGAAGGTTTTATACATGCAAGGCATGCACTCCACTACTGAGCTACTCCCGTAGTCTGACATTCTCACTTTTTATTCTGGTCAGGACCGCAGCCCATAGAATGATGTTTCGCACTTCTACGGTGGTTCATTTCCCCTTTTAACACCCTTACCAATATATTCAAAATGCTTCTCAGAAGATTGTAAATGGACCATAAGAGCTAGCTATCACAAGAGCTGGCCATTAGCAAATTACAAGCTCTTTTATGTAAATTTTATGTAACTTATGTCTTCCCTGTGAAATCCTAGATTACTTTTCACACAGTATACACACAGGTTACATGTTGTCTACAGACGAGCTCGAGAAGCCAGAGTTCCGAGGCCGTACAAGAAGCAGGTGCAGAGAACTCTCTTGCAGGTGCTTTCAGAGTTGCTGAGTCCAGAGAGATTGCTACTGGAGGCCAGCAGAGCTGAGGCATAGGACCAAAAACATGAGAGACAGCGTCATGCCCAGCTGCAGGGCTGCAGAATCATCAGTGTGAGGCACAGGATGTGATTCAGATAGATGTACCGGTACAGAGACAAATGGACAGGTGGTTGGATAGATAACAACTCAAATGGGCCCTGTTGGCCGAGCTGAACCTGACAGCTGGTAATCTCTGCCTGGCAGTCAGTCCCTTGACATGTTCACTGGCTAGTTCCTTGACATGTTCAGTGACTAGGATCTTTTACCACCTTATTGTGGTATTCTTTCTGTGGGGTCCAGGTAAGTATGGTGCACTGCTGTTGGTTTACGGTGTCTGAAAAGTTCTTGGGCATAAGGGTTTAATTCCACCATGTGCTTAGTCTGTTGATAAGTGTCATCTACCAGTCTACACCCTGTGGTTAGTGCTGGACAGGTGTGGCACGTACTTGCAGATAAGTCGCAGTGTCATTGTTTTCCTGCCTGTAGAGTGGGGCCAGCTGGTGCTTTGTAACAGGGCATAACCTGAAAGCCGCTGCTGCTTACCATTCGGAGGAATTTAATGAAGTGCACAGCCTGATCTTCACAAATAACATTTTTTCTTTTCGAAGTTTTCCTCATTTTCCTGACATAAAACTGTACTGTACTTGTTACAAACATTTCACTGTGGCTGAATTTTTCTTCTATGACTCTTCTCAAATTTAGAATCATCCCCAAATTTATAGAGCAGCTTTTAAGGGCAAAATACTTCAGTCTAATGCAATTATTGCTGTTTGGTTCCTCTAAGCATGTATGCAAAAGACAGATAAAGTGTTACTTGCATTCCAGATTGAGTGGCCCTAATCTGGAATCCAAGTGTCATCCTCACATTTGCTCTGTAGCCCAGGCTGGCCCTCAGCTGGCAGTTCTTCCACCTCCGCTTCACAGCTGCTAGGCCACAGGCATGTGCCACTCTGCCGTGTGCAATTAGATTTCATATAAAGAGAACTCAATCCTGTGAAGTATGTAAATGGCCCTTAAAAGTCTTTTACTTTTTTAAGAAATTATTTTTGCTCTTTTTTTTTAAGTCTTTGCCTATCAAAATATGTTTTCTTTCTCATCAAAACATTGTCAGCTATTGAAATGGTATTAGGTTGATGGCTGAATAACCAGAGCATGTGAAAAGATGTGTTATATTTTATATTTGGGGAGGGATAAAATTATGCTTTTATAATTCAAGTAAGAATTGTTTTTTCTGTTCTTTACACAGAAGGCTAGATCATCTATCATGCAGGTAAATAAAGCCTTTTGCATGTCGGTATGTATCTGCAGTGTTCTTTCTCTGTAGGCACTGTAAAAACACTAATGATGTGTTTTCTTGTAGGATACTGTAACCTTTTGTTCCTATCCTTTCATCTTTGATGCCCAAGCCAAGACCAAGATGCTGCAGACCGATGCCGAGTTACAGATGCAGGTGGCTTGCTCAGAATCTTACCCTCCTTTTACCATTCTTGTCACTGTCTACATTCTGTTGTCATTTCTCCAAGTGGAAGGGATTTTTCTGAGTGAAATTTTATTATGACTTTAAAGAGTTATATTTTTTAAATAACTTTATTATTTTATTTTTTGAGAAAGGCTCTAATGATAGTCCAGACTTCTTCTGAAAAAAATTCTACACACACACGCACACACACGCACAAACTCACAGTTTACATATACATAAAATTGTGTGTGTGTGTGTGTGTATGTGTGTGTGTGTGCTTGTGATTATACTTTGTTCTTTGCTTTTCAATTACCGTCTGTCTCCCTCTGAGCCACACTCTTGCTGGTCCCTTTCTCTGATAAAATACCCTTCCTTCCTTTCACTTTTTCTTCTGTACTCTCTTACCCCAGTTAGGCTTCTTCTACTCTCTCAGTTCCCTTCTTCCATCCATGTAAATGTTTGCAGTTAAACATATATTGTGCAGATGAAAGTAGGATGTGTTTTCCTCCTGAGTTTTGTGTCTTTTGCTTAGCGTGCCCCTCCAGACATTTGCCTGCGAATGTCATATTTTCATGCAGTCCCATTAGTGAATTCTTAGAGTTATTTCTTGTGAAAGCCCTTGGCTAGTCTCTGTTTTTAAGTATTTTTTAATTCTACCTTTTCCTCTAGTGTTTTCCAAGTCTTACATGAAGGTCACTTTGATCTCTTTTGAGTTGATTTTTATACAGGGATAAGAGGTTTGGATCTAGCTGAGTTTTGTCTTTCCTTTTTCTTTCTTTCTTTTTCTATTTATGTGAATATCCAGCCCTTCCAGTATCATCTGTTGAAGAGGCTGTCTTTTTCTAATGGGTGTTTTTAACATCTTTGTCAAAGGTGAGGAGTCTGTAGCTATGTGGATTTATTTCTATAATCTGATTTTTTTCTCTTTACTCTTCATAAAATGTATCAAATAATACTGTTACAAGAGTGTTTAATATGTCAATTGTATTAATGTACAGAAAATAGAATGATTTTTAAAAATAAAAATTTTGATGGAGCGTGTACTGAATCTCTATCTTGCTTTTGGCAGATAATTGCTCTGCTGTGTCAGGCCTGTCCTTCAGTCTTCTGTGGCAGGTTTCCATTTTTTACCCCATGCATTTTATTTCATTGTCGAGGTCTTTTTCATCTATTGGTTGAGTTTCTTTCCAGGCTAGTTTTGACTTCACTATGTAGCCAAGGTTACTTTGAAGTCTTGGCCTTTCCCCAGGCCCCTGTTGCTAAGATTGTAGGTGTGTACCACCATGCCAGCTTCAGTAATTTTATGTTCAGTGTACATTCCTGTAGACTTGGAGTGATAGGTAGTTTTTGTTTCTGCCAGGTAGTAAGCACTTGAGGCTTTGTGGACCCTGTGTCTCTATTAAGAATCATTAATCTCTTTTATAGACGGCAGCCTCAGATAAAGAAAAAGGGAGGTTAAACAGACATAAGAATGTCAAAACAGCCCAAAATTAAAGCAAATTTGTATATATGTATATTAAAGTTTGAATTTCATATATTTTCTTACATTGTAAATATTATACCCAAACTTTTAAAATGATAGAAAACCCTTATTATTTCAATAGTTATGCAAAATCAGGTCCCAGGCTGGGGGGACTACAATTTGCTGAGTTGATGCCAATTAAATTAAAGGGTTATCCTTAATGAATCAAAAACGATTGTCTAATGGTTTGATTTATTCTGCATTTTATTATAATATATAATATATTTTATTTGAATGTATACAGAGACATTAGTGAGTTAGAAAACCAGAACTATCAAGCCCTGCTCTTAGTGGGCATGTCTTCATTTTTCTTTCTGTCTCTCTCTTTCTTTCTGTCTTTCTCTGATTTTGTCTCTATCTGTTTTGATATCTGCTTTCATATGGATATAGTTTTGATACTGTTGAGGTGCAGGTTTTCTGCTGAAATGGATACTTTTCACACTGACTGTTGGTTTCTGTTTTTGCTGTTTTAATAATCATGTTTTCATGTCCTCTGCCGTGATTCTTCAAGTGTATTGTTATCTTGGTCTTAATGAATTGAAATCACTTTACTTGGCCTACTTATTCATATCATATAACTCATAAATTATTTCAGCTAATCTTGTTGAGTCCATATTAGAAAGATTTAGGTATCGTGTAAATAAAAGTAGTGAAAAATTTAAGGCTTTGTAAAAAAGGCAAAATAGAATTGAAGTCAGCCATTTCTGGTGCTTCCCATTCTGGTGCAGCACATTCTTCAGACTGTGCACTGTACTCAAAAACTTGCTCTGTTGTTCTCTTCAAGGTGGCAGTCAATGGAGCCAACCTGCAGAATGTCTTCATGCTTCTTACCCTGGAGCCTCTGCTGGCCAGAAGCCCCTTCCTGGTCCTTCACGTCCGCAGGAACCACCTTGTTGGAGATGCCCTGAGAGAGCTGAGCATTCACTCTGACATTGACTTGAAGAAGCCTCTCAAAGTGAGGCTCTTTCCCTGAATTCCTTTAGTACCTTTGTAAGCATATGGCAGCAAGCAGAGGTCTTACTAAGATATGAAAAGCAGCAATATTATATCATCATTGATTTCTTTTCTTTTTTCTTTGTTTCTTTTTTTAATCAAGAATCTAAACACCTCCTTTTGTGAAGTCACCAGAAAGAGCATATCATTGTAACATCAGATTAAATGCTGTTGGGTTGTTGAGTAACCATTGGGCTCTGCTTCTGCTTTCTGAAGTGTCCCTGCTCTAGACTGTCAAAAACAGTCATGTAAGATGTAAGGCTTTGACAAAATATAACAACTAAGCTCTTAGCTAGGAAGATGAGAAGGTAAATGAGAAATGGAGAGATGGAAAAGTAGGAAATCATCTTGAAAGCTGTTGGCCTACTAGCAACTTGTAGTTAGTAATAAAGTATCTCTTCCCATGGACTGTGCACTAGTGCAGAAGGCTGATTACTATGCTCCAGGCTGTATGGTATCCTGAGGAATAGCTAATGAATTTCTTGGAGTTGTTTAAAAGTAAATGACTTCTGTCTCTTGAAATTACATCATAAATACTGGTTTTAGGAGTTTCAGAGCCATAGTTCACAACAGATTAAATTGATAAGTTCAACAATTTACATTGTTACCATTTCTAAAATCTTCTAATAAGAACTCATGTAAACAATTCTAATCCCAGCTAATCAGGAAGCTGGAGTAGGAGAATGTAGGTTCACAGCCATTCTGGATAAAGCACTAGCAGTATAGTTCAATGTGAGAGCACTTGCTTCTCCTGTGTGTGACTCCTGTTCAATTACTAGTACCTTACAAAACAGAGATTTTTAAAAGACCCTCATAATCTTACTGGTCTGTCTGGGTTCTCCCTAGAACTTCTAGGTTTTATTACACACAGCCATTGTTTTCAGTTATTCAGACAGACATGTTGGATAGTTGAGTCTTTGGCTGGGCATTTCTTTCTCTGAAGTATTCATTTTCTTTTCATGTTTCCAGGTAATCTTTGATGGTGAAGAAGGAGTAGATGCTGGTGGTGTTACGAAGGAATTCTTTCTTTTGCTGTTAAAAGAACTTTTGAATCCCATTTATGGGATGTTTACCTACTATCAAGATTCAAATCTCTTGTGGTTTTCAGATACAGTAAGTTCATGATGTCACAATTAAGTTTACCATTTGTACTGAATATTCTGCTTGTTGTCAGACTAGCCCTTGGCTTTCTATCATTGCAGAATTAACCTTTAAAATGCCTAAAATGTCCAGTCCTCAGGCTTAACCTACTTTCAAGACTCATTGTGCATTTTGTCAGCCATGAGCCCCAGTGTCATTTCTAGTGGTAAGATTCAGGACATAGTATACATGAAGGTTAAAAGGAAGTGTGATAAGTTAGTTTTAGGAGCTAGAGAGATGAATAAGTGGGTAAAAGCACTGGCTGCTCTTACACAGGCCCAGGTTTGATTCCCAGCATCCACATGGTGGTGTGTCACAAATTCTAGGGGATGTTCTCTGTTGCTTCCTCAGACATCAGGCATGCATGTGTCCACAGACATGCTGGCAGGCAAAAGAGCCATGCACATAACAAAGTAAAATAATGTTATTACTTTCGCTCTTCCCATTCTCCATCATGACTCAGGATCAAGATGAGAAGAGGCCCTACATAGAATTCCACATGTATGGACAGAGGAGACAGACCGATCTGGTTAGCCCAGGGACTGGAGCAGCTCAAAGGCCAGAACCAGTGCTAGATATATTTTGGGGTTCTTTAAGCATTGAGAGAAGTGGAAACATTGCTATCCTCTATGTGGTCTGTAGGCCAAGGCAGAAGAAATCCTAGACTGCAGATGCCAGAGAATGAGTTAGGAAAAAACAACCCCCAGATACCGGAAATGTTGGCTATGGGGATTGCATAAGTCAGAGTTCTCTAGAAGACTAGAACTAATAAGATAAATTTGTATTTTACAAAAAGTTTCATTAGATTGGCTTACATCATAGGGGCTGGGTAGTTAACAATGGCTTGCTATATACTGGAAGAGTTGCTCCGTCCTTGAAACTGGATGCTTCAGTAGTTTCAGATAGTGGGAATGCCTGGAGAATTCCTGAAAACTGCTCATTACACTACAATGGACCCCAAAAACTGGAATGTGATGTTAGCAGCAGTAGCAGTAGACACACCCAAAATGACCGTGTTGTTCTAACCCCAGACCTCTGAGAAGTGCCACCAGCTGTGTGGGAGGGTCTTTGCTCTCAGTTAGTCCTTCCTAGAAATGCCATCATAAACTCTCCCTGAGGTATGTCTCTTAGTTGATTCCAGCCAGGTCAACAATCAAGATTAACCATCACAGAGACCCGGAAACACATAGATCCAGGTATCAAATATGACCTGAGCATTGATGTTCATTGCTGAGACATCTGTGTAGTGCTGGGTAGGGCAGGTTTCAACAACAGACCATCAGAGGATGGGATGCTCGAAAAGCAAACAGAGTGAGAGAAGTGGAGGTGATGGGATTACTCTACAAGGAATAAGATGGCTTCGTGGGGTCATCCCTTACAACCAATAAGTTCTGTCCAAGAGGCCAGGAAAATACCTTCATTTAACAGTTAAAAAAAAGAGAAAAGATACTAGCTTTCTGATATGTCGGGAATCAGTAATCACATATTTGTTCTTTTAAGAATAGTAATTCATGTCTGAATATGTACACATAGACTTGTACTTTTATTTTTTTTTTTAAAGAATTCAATAGAGCTAAGTTTTAAAAGGCACGCTAGGGTTGGGGGTGTGGATCTGTGGTAGAGGACTTACCATGCATGCCTGAGTTAGATCTCTAGCATTTGTGGGGCTTTTATTTCATCCAAGTCATAATTTAGGGGCTCCTGGAGTTTTCTTATTAGATATTCATTAAATTATAATTCAATAATAAAGATTTACTTCTATTCACATTTTGTGTGCTTTGTAGCCAGTAAGGGGCAGCACAGAATACAACTGTTCTGTCATTGCAGAGCAGTCGCTGAGCCATTCTGCCGGAGAGAATAGGAAGCTGTTTATCGCCTGGAGAGTCATGGGTGCTTGGCTCTCTGCATTGCAACTATTAACACTAACAAACTTTGACCAGGGAAGTTTCTCTGCCTCAGAGTGTAAACATAAACAGGGCTTTATTCTATTATACTGAAATATTTTGAATAGGTGGTAGAGTGTTTCACAGTCTCAAATACTACTTCTTTCTAATACGTTTGCATGTACCCTATAGTGTTTTGTAGAGCACAACTGGTTTCACTTGATTGGCATAACCTGTGGATTAGCTATCTACAACTCCACTGTGGTTGACCTCCACTTCCCATTGGCTCTCTACAAGAAGTTACTGAATGTAAAGCCCAGCCTGGAAGACTTGAAGGAACTGTCACCAACTGAAGGAAGGTAAAGAGCTAAAAGTTATGCTGATGGTGTGGCGACCTGCCTCCCTTGCTCTAGCTCGGGAGCTAAGATGGAAAATGAGACATGTGCATGTTTTGGTGCATCCAAACCTGTAGATCACATAGCATTGTGTGAAGCGTTGCCTATGTCACTGTATAGACAAGTGAGGAAATTAAAAGAGAGGCCTGGGCCTGTAGAGATGGCTCATAGTTAAAAAGCACTGGTGGTTCTTTCAGAAGACCTGGGTTTTGTTCCTAGAAACCACATAGTGGTTCACAACCATCTGTAACTCCAGTTACAAGGGATCCAATGCCCTCATCTGACACAGACATCAGGCACGTACAGGCAAACATGCAGGCAAAAACACCGACACACATAAAATAAGTAAACCTGTAAATAGTGGGGTGGGGACCATAGTAGCTCCCCAGGGATATTCAGTAATCTCTACTTTCATTATTTTCCACCAAAAATAAATAAATAAATAAATAAATAAATAAATAAATAAATAAATAAATGGGAAACTGAGCCTTGTCATGGTACAGAGATAAGAGTGGGGAGATTATTGAAATGAGAGACTTTGAAAAATGTTTTGGTAAAGTGATAGATAATTTACATACTATACAACTGACCCATGTAAAGAGTATTTAAAGTATACTTTAGTGTATTTAGAGTTGTGTGACCATCACTGTAGTCAGTTCTAGAAGATTTTCCCCACCTGAAGAGCAGCCTAGCCCTTTGTTACATTACCCTGATCTCCATCTCATGAATCCTAGGTAAACACCAATATGCCTTCTGCCTCTATCAGTCTGCCTGTCCTAGTTCTTGTTTTTTTTGTTTGTTTGTTTGTTTGTTTTTTTGAAACAATGTTCCATTATGTAGCTCTGGCTGGCTGGCAACTAACTATGCAGACCAAGGTGCCCTCAAACTTACAGTCTTTGCCTCCTGAGTGTTGGAACTAAATATGTGTGCTATCATGTCTAGCTACTTTGGATACTTTTTAAAAATGGAATCTTAACTGTTGTTCAGTTTGTATATTTCATTTGGTATGTTTTCCAGATTTGTCCTGTTATAACATGAATCAGTGTTTCATTTTTCAGACTGGCCAATAACATTCTATAGTGCACCATTCTCTGGCCTACCATACCATTGTATGATAGCCACTGTGTATAACATTCCATAGTGCACCATTCTCTGGCCTACCATACCATTGTATGATAGCCGCTGTGTAAGACTCCTTTGTACACATGCATCATATTTTGTTTCTCTATTCTTCCATTGATGGACACTTGGAACATTTCTGCTTTGGAACTACTGTGAACAGTGTGGCTGAAAACATTTATATACAAGTTTTTGCGTGGGCATAAACTTTTGTTACTTTGATGTATGCCTAGGAGTAGAATTACTGATTCATATACTAATTCCATATTGAGCTTTTAGAGGAGCTGTCAGAATGCTTTTCAAAGTAGTCAAGCCCTGTTTTTATGTTATTCTCATTTTTTTGCATCTTAAATGCCCCCTTTTTCTTGAGTTTCTCTGTGTTGATTTTGGGGAGCAAACAAATACACAGCTGGCTTCAGAGGGAGGGAACGACTTCTTTTTATGGGAAGAGATGCTGGTTTTAAGTTGGAGCAGGGGCTGGCAGTATAGCTCAGTGGCACCATGCTTGTCTAGCATCCCAGAGTCTTGGAGTTTTCCATCCAGCACCATAAAACAGCAAGCCTACCTGCTATAGTTATGAACATCTGTAATTCCAGTATTCAGAAGGCTGAGACAGCAGAACCAGGAGCTTAAAATTGATTTTCATTTTACAACTAGTTCAAAGCAATACTCTATCTCAGAAAATAGTGTATTTACAGAGCTTAGGGCTATAGCCTAGGTTTAGCCACTACTGCCAGGAAAACAAAACAACAAAACAAAACCATTACTTAAAGGTGAAAGGAGAAGTTTCTAAGATACCATCTAGAAATGAGACTCCCATACTTACATAGGAGACTAAAGAACTCAGGAATAGTGGGGTGGGAACACTGAGACAATTAGAATATTGAAAACAGGCGGAGGAGACACAGGCTGGATTTGTTCTGATGGCTAAAGAGAAACCTGCAGTAAGAGATGTGGCTGCTCTTTGCTTTGCCATTGTCTGAGAAGTGGATATTTTAAGGTATGGTTTTGGCTGGTTACCTGGTAGCAGCCTCAGGTTCTGTAGAAGGAACTTGTCCCTCAGGTGGCTCTTTGGCTCGTTTGCTCTGCAGTCCTCCCTCACTGCTTATTTCCCCCATCATTTTGACACTATCTTACACATCCACCAGGCTTTGCTTAATCTGTTAGGAGGGGCAGAAGAGAGGTAAGACATGCAGAGCTTGCCTCGTCACTTCATTTCATTTTACTTTCCAAGGCAGAGGCTGGCGTGTGGCATTTTAAGATGTCTTCCTCAGAAGCCTGGCATGTTAATGATTTGACCCAGAAAGAGGAAAGCTTGGAAAACTACCATGGTGTAGTCTCTCTCAATATTTCCTTTTTATACATATATATTTATAAAAGTTAAAATTTCCCAAGATCCTAGCGCTTTGGGTGACTATGTATTTGGTGGTGACCCAGTGTAATGATGAGTCATTTTTTCAAAGGCTTTGGGCTGTTCTTTATTTCCAACGGCCACACTTAAAAAGCTGCTGCTCACACCAACCAAGCAGGTGCTACTTGCTTTTATAATTCATTTTTTTTGGTGTATTTGCTTGTGAATAATGTTTGTGTGGATCTTAACTACTGTACCTGTACAACTGTAGTTCACGTATTTGAGTGTTTATGCTTTTGAAAGCCTCTATTATTTGCCCATTTTGTGTTTTGAAGTGGTTTCATAAGTACTATCTTGTGTTATGTTTTCTGAATCCTCCTTTAAGAGTGGAAGCTACTGCATTTATCTTTTTTGTTTGTTTGTTTGTTTGTTTATTTATTTGTGAGGGTTGTTTTCTTATCATTTTTAGGACTGGATATTGAACCAGGACTGTAGTGTACTGACTGAGCCACACCCACCACTCCTACTAAACAGTTTTTAAAATTAGTTTTGTTGGAATTGCATTTGATATTTTTGACTTTAGGAATTTGAGACATTAGGGATTCTGGTGTTTGAGGGTTTCAACATTTGGAATTGTGGTTTGGGTGATTAGGTCCTCACTCACCCTTAAGATTCCTGTCTGGATAAGGTGACTGTATTAATAACTTTTCTTTTGTTGTGATATAAAGTCATGAAGAATTTTCTGGGCTTAGCAGTTAGTTCGTCGTTACTGAGTAGCACAGCAGCAGGTAGCAGACATGGTGGCAGGAACAGCTGGGAGCTGATTTCTCAACCCTCAATCAGGAAACAGACAGAGCAGACTGGGAATGAGAGTCACTTTGAGACTTCAGAGCTCCCCCAGTGACACTTCTTCCAGCAAGGCCACACCTTCTGAAACTACCCAAACAGAGCCACCAAGTTGGAACTAAGTATTCAAATACAGCAGCCCATGGGAGTCAGTCTCATTTGTACCACCACAGTGACTTTGTGGGCTTTTCTTTTTTTAATGGCGATAGGATTATTCTCCTCTTAGAAGGGGGTGAAGCCTGTCTCTGGGGCCCTTAGGGTACCCTGTTCTTGTGTATATATATGTATGCACTAAGCAATGTTAAGGAGGCGCAAACATAAGTGTGTCAAGGTTAAATCCATCTTGATTTCATGGTTAAGTTTAAGAAAGTGTCAGGAGGGAAGGGAATTAGTAAGTCTGCTGCTTTACTTCTCTACGTACATGGCTTTCTGTTTTCTGAGTTTATATTCATTGTAGACGTTTGTTTTTGTTTCCTTAGCAAATAGTCTGGACGTAAATGAGGTAGAGAACGATTGTAACACTTAACTTGCCTCTTTTCCTTTTCTTCGGTGACTAGGAGTCTTCAAGAGCTTTTAGATTACCCTGGTGAAGACATTGAGGAGACCTTTTGCCTCAACTTCACGGTATGAACTCCTGTGTTTATGACTGTGGCTGTTCTTCTTGGTGATGGCAAGTCATGATTAACCTTAGATTTCAAACAAAACAACAAAGCCAGAGACTTTCACTCAGCAAATCTTGAATTCAATAAATGTGTTGCAGAGAGGAACCTGTTTATCTGTGCACTTAGGAAAACTGCCAGGACATTGGTCTTCTTTGCTTTTGACATTTCTACAGCTCATGTCACTCTCTCCTTGATTCCGTTACTACATGACTTAAAATGTTTTTAAGATATTAACATTTTCTGACTCAGATTTTTATTCTACCCCCGATTTCTGGTAAAGACAATTGTTAAATTATGTTTATTCCTAATTTCTCCTGAGTCATTTGGTTTCTAGAAAGGCAATTGTTAGTTAACAAAAATGAAAACACATCTTTTTCTGCTTTGAATGAAGGTGTGCCGAGAAAGCTATGGGGTGGTAGAACAGAAGAAGTTGATACCTGGGGGAGACAGAGTGGCCGTCTGCAAAGACAACAGGTTAGTCCTGACCTTGGGCTGCTGAAGATGTGGGTGTTTTACTTTTCCTGAAGTTTGATGTATTACTCTAGGATTAAAATTATATTTTAATTTCTCTACAGAGGATATGAGGGCAGTAGAACAAGAACTTGAAGACTGTAGAGAATTTTTAATAGCAGGGCAAGCCATGGAATTTAGTGGATAGCTATTTAGCTACAGATCTGCATCCTTTTGGCTTTGAAGCTGAGTAAGTCGTTAAGTCACATACATTGTTTACTTTCAGATATCTCATCTATAAAACAAAGAAGATAAAAATCACCCTTCCTACCTTATGGGATAGTTGTGTGAATATAGTAATATATAGGAAGATATTTTGAATGAGCGTATTTGAATTATAAAATAAATGAACAGCATAGGGTTTCTCTTATCTAGTGGAATGCCTAGTGCTAAATGCTATATAAATATGTATTGAACAAATACTTTCAGTGTGTGTGTAGAAGGAGAAGCTGACTCAGAGCCTTTGCTACTATGCTTTCACAACTAATTACTTTTCAACCCTGAAAGTTGTCAGGATTCCCACCTCACAGTAAACAAGCAATTAACTCCATTCCAGACAGCAGCTCCATGCTCATTAACCCAGCTCAGTTGTGATCTGCACTGTTGTGATAATGAGACTTTTTTATCACAGTTACTACAAATAACCTGAGAAAAATAACCTAAAGAATAAAGGTTTTGGCTCACAGTCAAACATGAGCTGGTGGAGCATCGTGGTAGCATGGTATGGTACAGGAAAGCTGCCTCTTCCATGGGAACCAGACATGCAGAGAGTCTGTAAGAGGTCAGGAGCAAGATTCATTCTTCAATGATGAGACCTAGTGGCCTACTTCCTCCATGAGGGCCATCTCCTCACAGCCCCATTGGTATGAACTCTTTAATGGATAAACCCATTGGTAAAGTTGATATTGTTGTGATCCATCTCTTAATAACACCACAAGCTAGGGACTGAGCTTCAACACATGTGCCTTTTGGAGGTACAGTTCATATTCAGATATGTCTATCTGAAGTCTCATCTTGGGACTTACTCCTCAAAGATAACATCTTCATAGTCCAAGTCCAAGCCTTGGGTTCCTTTACCTGTGCTTCTGAGTGACTGGCCTATAAATGGACTTTGCTATATGCCTACCCTTCCCATATAGATTAATTTGTTTGAGTCACAGAACTCAGAGAAATAGTCACTTGTGTAGGATACAGATGAAGAGACACAGAAGTTGAGGTATGGGGTAATGAGCTTTTGTTCTGTCTGTCTCTTGGCCACCTTCCAGGAACTTGTCTCCAAATCCTGTCTGATTTGGATTTTATAGAGATTTCTTTAGTGTATCTAATCCTAATAGAGCATATGGGGAAACCCAGAACAGGGTCTACTTGTATGGTTCTCAGACTGTATTGCATTCTTAGTGTGGATCAGAATCCCTTCTTAAATGGGTATCTTATTATTTCTTATGAGCCAGGTAGGTCAGAGTATGGCAGAGGTAACCCAGGACCTTAGGACAAAACAACACATACACTCACACATCCCAGAATGTCTCAGTGGCGACTTGCTATTTTTAAGGTGAGATTTGTAAGTCAGGTTTGAAGATTTAGCTGAGTTTTCAGGATGAATCTCAGTCCCTGAGTTATCTTGCTAGAGGAAGGTAAATATTTGGTTTTATTTAGTTTTACACTGAACTGTGATAATGTGCACAGACATTCATTTACTTTACAAACACAGTGTTCGCTGTGTGCCCATCATGTTGCAGACTATAAGAGATGACTAGTTTCTATCCTTCGATCTGTGAGTCGAGAATACACAGATATGTAACAGATCGTAGTGTGTTATATGTCAGGTGCCATGGAAGTAGGAGAGAAGCAACAGACTTATTATAAGACATTTAACAGTGTGAATGTTGGGGCGTATTTTAGGCTAGTGAATATATGAGTCAGAATCTTCAGGATTGATAGAGGATAGAGATTCTCGAGAATTTGTGAGTGGGTCAGGATGGTGTGTGTAGGAGTTCTAGAGTGAAGACCGCCAAAGTCTTGAATAGGGCTTGGATTGAAAGACAACTGGCCTCAGTTTAGAGAGATAAGTTTAATGACCTTATAGAAATAGACAATGTGCACAGAGGCCTGAGAGGAGGCCATTGAGCCGGCTCAGATAAGAATGGCAGGGGCCAGGGTGGGAGTTCTAGAAATACCACGTTGAATATGTGAATGGCACTGTCAGTAGGTGTCTGATTATGAATGCACAAGGCTGGAGTTGGCAACCTTGCTACAGTTTCTAATTCGGGTAGCTGTATAATAGGTAACAGACTATAAATAAAGGTGGTTCCTCGAGGGAAGTTCTGTTTTGAATCTGTTACTTTGGCTGTCTGATAATACCAAGGCAATTATTTAAAGCAGGAAATTGATGTGGGTTTCAGGAAAGAAGTCTCATTAGAAATCTTTGCTTATGCCTGCCAGCTTCAATTGACAGTGAATTTGAAGTCACTTGAAGTGGGAAATTGATAGAAATGTTAAAAGAAGAATAAGGAAAATATACATTCTTTGGAGGACCTGTATCATTAGATTGCATGGCAAGCCACTGTGATGAGAATTTGTTGCCACCCTCACTGGCTGGCAGTACGGCTTGTGTGAGAAGAGCAAGGGGCCTGGGTGATGAGAAAATGCTTTTCTCCGAGTAGGAAGGCTGTGAGTGAGGGAAGCTGGGCTTCAATTAGGCTATATGTAAAACTCACAAGATTGCAAACCCATAGGTCTCACTTCAAAGAGAATAAGGGCTAAAGGACTGTGGCCCAGAAACGTGGTGCTAGGTTATCGAAGGTTCTGTGTTCCCAGGCAGTTTCATATGGTTGTACAGTATCAGAACAAGGAAGGTCACAGTGGTACAAACATCAGTCTCTGTGCCTGCAGCACTCCAGCCTTTCCATATGACTACAGTTCTAACAGGAAGTCTTTGCAGGCACAGCTTTTTCTGAGGATTCTTGTTTACATGAGAAATGTGGAGAATTTTATTTTCTAAGCTGACTTACTCTAGGTTTTCTTACTCTAAGTAATTGTGAAGCTGCTGTCAGAGAACCTGTGAACTTCTGTCTGTCCGAGTGATCTACCTTTATTTCCTTCCATGAGCCTTCCCTTGAAAAGAGAAAGAAATGATAGAAAAGCTGATAGGCTTATTGTTTATTGTTTGGCATTTTTACAAAGGCGCTAGAAGCTAGTGCAGATTTGATAGTCTTTTCTTTCCCCCAATATATTCTGGATCAAACACTCCAGCTTTGTTTCAGACTTGTGGATATTTGCTTAGACTTCAGCAGCCGAACAGCCCTAATCTAGAAATATAAAATCAGAGACATGATAAGCAAAATGTTGTATAAGGGCGTTTCAGATATTGGAGCATTTCGACTTCAGGTTTCTGGACTAGGGTTCACCTTGCATGGTGTCTTATAACACACAGTGATCTTTTTTTTTTTTAATATAAACATTCCAGTCAATCTAGGATGTTATCTTTGGAAAGTATTAATCCTGCTGCCAGAATGTTGTGTACCCAGCAAAAATGGCTTTACATGACAAAGTTACCTTGATGTCTTTGTTGTTGTTCTGTTGCTGTATGTGAGCATGACCAAAGGAATCATTGCACTGGTGTCTTGCTTACAGTTCCAGAGAGTGAGTCGTCATCATTATGTGGCAGAAAGCAAACAGTCGTGACCCTGGATCTGTAGTTTGAGAGCTTTACATCTTGATTTCCATCCAGTAGTCAGAGAGAGAGAGGAAGGGAGCGTGTTTGTGTTTGTGTGTGTGTGTGTGTGTGTGTGTGTGTGTGTGTGCCTGTGCCTGTGCCTGGCATGGCCTTTTAAAACTTCAAAACGAATGCCTAGTGACACATTTTCTCCAACAACCCTACACCTCCTAATCCTTCCCAAAGAGTTCCTCCTACTGGGACCCAAGCATTCAGACAATATGAGATGAGCCTATGGGAGTGATTCTCATTCAAAACATCATGCTTGGCCATCAAAGTCTAGTCTTGACTCAGATGATTTTACAATCATTAGAAATCTTTATTGGATAAGGGACCAAAAAAGCAGGTCCTTTATCCTTGTAACATTTGTATTTTTGTTCGCATTATAAATAGCTTATTTTCAGGATATTTTTCATTTGTAAAAACAGGCTTATTTGTGGCACATTTATAAAGGAAGTATTGCTTACAATTTGGTTCCAATTATTCTTCTTTACTCCTAATTTTGGTCACTTCATTATAATAGATGCATGTACATATGTAGATTCATATACAGCTATATGACATGGTGACATTTTGGTCTGTGACCAAATGCAGGAATGACACCTACAGAACAGAATATATGAGCATAAACAAGTATGTCACTGGGTTTTATATTTGTCATACTCTACTTTCTATAATTATTTTAGAGTGTTGTTGGCATACAAAAAAACACAGCTCTCATCCCAAAGGGAGTAAGAGTTTATTATAGAGCCAAATGAGAGACCAGTTTATGGTAAGCATGGAGTTCATTATGCCAGGTTCTATGTTTCAATAAGGAAATTAAAAAATATATTAGTGGAAACCTCAGAGAGACAGGTTATAGCAAGATGGGGGGAATAGCTTCTATAGGCCACAGATACTCTCTGATGACTTCTGTCTGCTAAGTTAATACATTCCAAAGGCTTTCTTCCATTATTACAGAACAGTAGGCCCAACATTTTGCTAATCACAGAATGGCTTAAGGGGGTAAATCTAATCCAAGATAAACTGAAATTAGGCAATGGACTTATTCTAACCTCACCAGACCACTGAAGTTCAAATCAGTAGTTCATATTTGAAGATACAACTTCTTTCTGGGAATTCTCATTCTCTGTCATACTGGCAGCTACCTCCAGCATCAGATGTCTGTCTGTCTGTGTACGGAGTGTGTTTCATAAAGGATATCCTCAAGATGCATGGCTAGATAGTCTTATCTTACTGTTTGTATTAC